TGTTCATAATGGAAAGTTCACATGTCCTTTTTGAAACTGACTTTCTGTTGCAAAAGTCTCCTAATCAGACTCCAGATCAGTGTCAGTGCAGAGTCATGAAGACTGCGGTTGTGACAATAGACAGGTGGAATGTCCCAGAGCTGCGGGCTGTGCACAAAGAGGAAGTGGGGAGCGCCCCGGGTCACATGATCACCACATCACCCTCCGACTGAAACACAGAGCTGACCACCGGAGCATCAAAACCAAACAGAGAGAACGGAATGAGAAAGGAGAAGGATCCTGAGCCAGTGTTCCAATCAAATCATTATTATGTCCAAATCTGCACCATTAATAATAACAAGAGCTTTTCTTAACACTCAAAGACACAGCTGCCCTGTGGTAGACTGACATAAGTGAGGCTGCCAATCTGCAACATCGGCCGTTCTGACCACCACTGGACTCGTACCTGTGACCCCGTGGCCCCGTGAGACCCCAGTGGTCTCACATCACTGTACTGACCAGGCTCTGCCCTGCTTTGTTTCTGAGGTCCGCCAGATCACACAACACTCCAACAGCAGTCAAACAACAGACCTATGTCTCTCAGAGTCTACAACTTCACACTCTCATGTCTCGATTAGTTCTGTGATGGGAGACCTCTGGCAGCACCAGGAGCCACAGTGGGGCGGCTGCTGCTGTGAAGTGTCAAACTGTTGTTTTGTCCTTAGGCAAGACACTTCACCCACATTGCCCAGAAGGAGTCTGGTGTGTGCGTGAATGGTTGGTGGTGGTGGGAGGGGCGGATGGCACATGGTTTCCTCGCTTCTGTGCCTCAGGGCAGCTGCGTAAATGAATAATGTGAAGCGTTTTTTAGTGTCCAAAAAGCGCTAAATAAAACCATTGTAGTATTATCATTCTATGTTTTCTAGGTTTTACGGTTAGTAAGTAAGTAATATTTATTTATACAGCGCATTTCACACTAACTTGTACCATCTATGCTTCTGTCATCTACTCTGGTGCATCAAAGCCTCCAACCGTTACCATCCTTCACTGTCTTCACTCAGACCTATTGTACATGTTTTTAGTGGAGAGGAAACCGGAGCACACGGAGGAAACCTGCACAGGAACACGCCTGGAGGTGGAATCCGAACCAACACCTTTTTGCTGTGAACAGGTTTTTGTAAGAGCATAAAAACAGACGTCTGTGGTCTGCAGTGGATCTTGTCCTCAGATCCTCAATATGAACCGACACCAGTGAAGGGACTGAAGAAAGCCTTTTCCTCAAACCTCAGCAAAATGTTTCATAATAGTTCATCTTTAACCACACAATTAATTTGTGTCAGTAAAACTTTAACATCCAGGATTAATATCGGTCGTAAACTGTCTTATTACATCAAAAGTGTAAGGAACAGTGATATCAGCTTCATAATAATAGTAATAATAATTCATCTGTTTATTTAGAGCTTTTTTGGACACACTTCACATTCATTATTCTTTCACTCAGTGGTGATAAACTACTCCTATAGCCACCGCTGCCCTGGGGCACACTGACAGAAGCGAGGCAACCAGTATGTGCCATCGGCCCTCTGACCACCAACCATTCACCTACACACCAGACTCATTCTAATGTGGGTGAAGTGTGTTGCCTAAGGACACAACCACCGGCACTTTACAGCCGCAGCTGCCCCTCCATGGTGTTCCCAGAGGTCTCCCATCACAGTATTATCCAGGCCATGTCCTGCTTAGCTCCAGAGGTGTGACAGGATCTAGCTTTCACATGTGGCGCCATTTAACCAGTGCAACTTTGGTCAATCACATTTAAGATTTTTATTTATGTTAGATGACTGTCATGCTACCATCGCGAGTCAACAACCACACACTGCACAAAAAAAAGAGAAAAGAGAACTGTTTTTAACCTGGATTTACACATTGTCAGAGAGGAGGCCTGTCTCACATTTTCAGGAAGATTGCTCCATATTTTAGCTGCATGAATCTGAAACAGCGACTCTCCATATTTAGTCCTGACTCTGGGCTCCAGCAGGAGGTCCGTCCCTGTGCTCCTCAGAGTCCCAGCAGGAGGTCCGTCCCTGTGCTCCTCAGAGTCCCAGCAAGAGGCCAGTCCCTGTGCTCCTTGTGTGATCATGGACTAAAGTGACCGAACACTTTGTTTTCCCGTGTATAGGCAGATTTATTTTTACCAGTTCGACCTATGGAGGAAATTTGCGTAGGTTTCCTCCGGGTACTCCGGTTTGCACTACCACTAAAAACATGTACGATAGATCTGGCATGTGCCTCCTGTACTGGCGACCCCGCTCCCATCTCTGTGTGAAGTGAGAGCACAAATGCCCAAAAATAACAATTGTAAACCGCTTTGTGACTCTGGTCTGTGAAAGGCGGTATATAAATAAAGATTACTTACTACTTACCTACAGTTAAAGTTGATTTTAAATGTTTAGTCTGATTTCTGTGTCACCGATATCATTCGATCCAACACATTTTCCAGTATGGCTGTAGCAGTTGTTGTAGTGCTCTCTAACAGTTGTGCATTCGAAATCTCAGTAGTGATCTAAAAGTATTTAACATATTCACTGAAGTGTAGCGAGTTTGAAAGAAGAGCATTCAGACAGAAGGGGAGGGAGCATAGCTTGGTGTGATTGAGCACAATACCTTTTCTTAAAATAAAGCTATAACCGATCTGAAGGGGATGTGACATTTATGGGGTACTGCAATATGTTTACCTAAAGGTGGGCTAACTTTTTGAATAACATGCATGTGGTACTTTCCTTTTTTCCTCTCTCTCTTTTGCACTTTTACTCGAGTATCAACATAGAGTTATTGGATCTGAGCCGTAGCAAAGCATCTCTATTGTCGCACAAAATGCTAATATTTTACCACCCTCGTGAATGGGGCGTGTGAGGGGGGGGGGCTGGGTGACAGATGCTCCGGTGGGGGGGGCCTCAGGGGACCACTCCACCCCCACCCCCACCCCTGCTGCAACTGGTGCCCCCCCCTTCACACCTCAGCCACAGCAGCCGCATATCTGCACAGTCCCGGGACCCCCAAACCCTGTGACCTCGGGGCCCCTGCTCCGTCTGCCCCCCCCCCCACCACCACCACCACCCCACCACCCACCACCACCTCACGTCTGTGCACTTTCATACTCCGCTTGTATCGACGCGCACATATTGGGTTAAAGCAGCAGCTGGAGAGGGGCAGCCTCTTCCTATTTGCAGATAGAAACAGTTTGTTTAGAAAGTGCTTTCTGATATTTATTTTATATTGGTTCCATTTACAAACATGATTTTAAACGTGTTTGCTCAAATCTAGGGTTGCACTGATTTACAATAAACACAATATAAGACATTTTCACTCTAGCTCAGTAACAGATTGCGTCACACTCATTTTGGGCCTAAAAAAATGTAGTTTAAACCAGATATGAACGATATGAGGATTGACCAATCAGATTAATTCATTTGTGGGGGTGAAACCCCAGAAATTGGCTTCTTCCACATTCTGCGAACACTATGGTGATGTCACACTCAGTCAATCTTCAAGAAGCTATGAACTTGGAAGAGGGATCAAGTGTTAAAAAAACAAACATCTTTTTATTCTTCTCGGGGAGTAGTCTCTTCACAATAACCCACTAACGTCTGAAATCCTCACATCGCTCTTCCTCATCAGTCACAGACCTGAAGATGTTTTTAGCTCAGGAACTTCTGGCACAAGCATGTCCCCCCACCCTTTCTGCTTAAGATCTCCATTTTCAAACTTGTCACGCTTCAACACATTCAGAGCTGTTTTCTGTGTGAAGCTTGGAACAGTAGTATTACACTTCAAACCAGTACTTATGTCATTTATAAATACTTTACTGAAACTGAAAACTTCCTTTACTGCATTTGTATGACAGAGGGACAAATGTAGTTTTTATCCTTAACTTTGTTATAAAAGTGTTATGAATTTAAAAACACTTCAACTCTGTTTCTATTCAGGATCAATAAGTAAGGAGTACTTTCTTACTTACTAGGACAATATTCAGGTGTATAAAAACGTAACAAGATGATTTGGAGTACAAAGGAGCTGGTTCCACAGAGATAAACATTAAATAAAAAAAATGCCTTAATAAAATGGCTTGACAGACAGATGGTCACTGTACAGGACTGTTGTGGAGAAGAGGGAGCAGCGTCTGCAGTCAGAGCTGTATGGTACTATTGTGGAGAAGAGGGAGCAGCGTCTGCTGTCAGAGCTATGGGACTGCTGTGAAGAGGGAGCAGCGTCCCTCCTTCACCTCTGGTCATATGCTTTGGGTAATGACAAAAAATATGAAATTGCAGAGATCTCCAGGAGCTCAGGGGAGACCAGGATCTAGGACCAAGACCCGAGACACTGTGGAGGGACTGTGTCTCTCAGGTGGTCTGGGAAAGCCTCAGGGTTTCCCCTGATGAGCTGGAGGAAGTGTGTGTGGAGAGGAATGTCCCGCCATCTCAGCTCAGACTGCTGCCTCCACAACCCAGCAACAGATAAAGTGGAAGAAAATGAATATTTGGATGTCTTAATATAAATGTGAATAAATGAATATTCGATTTGAAAATCCAAAAGTCATTACAATTATTGTAATATGTCTAATTCATGTCTTGTATTTTTGAATAAATCCCAGCAGCAATTCTCTACAATGAAGTTGTCATTTCACCAACAGATCAGAGTCACTATTCGACGCATTGGGCTGAGAGTTAATTGACTGGGTAAGAGTGGTCTTCTCTTTTCTACTTTTCTGTCAGAAAAAGCTGATCTAAAGATGTGACAGTGGTCAAACAACAACAAATACGAGAAATAAATACGTTATCACAGTGGGTAATTTTATATGTATGTGGCTTGAAAATAAGCTGCCCCAGCTTTAATCTGTCAGTTTTCAGTTTAAGTTTATGATACATGTTCAATCATATTTTCCTTGGACGTAAGAACAGCATGTGCAATGACTATAATAGCTATTGAAGTCTACTTTTCCTATCCCTCACACACGCACTCACCACGGGGATGTGATGGTTCCGCAGATGGTTCCGGTCTATCGCTCCATCGGCGTCAGCTCCAGCTCCGCCTCGAACTCGCCCGAATCCCGGTAAAGTCCCAAACAAAGGCGTAGAATCCCGGTGCGCGGATGAAGCAGGGCAGCGGGGAGCGATAGTCCCGGGACAGGCTTTACGCACGAACTGAAGGCACAAGACACGCGCTGTGGCAAGAGTCCAGCGCGGAGCCCCTTCCTGGCCAATCAACAGGCTGAGCGCAGAAAGAGGGCGGGGCAAACGACAGGGCGAGATATAATGTATGTGTATAAATATCAGAATTCTATGGAAGCCCGTTTCTATGGAAGCCCGTTTCCGCCATGTAAAAAAAAAAAAAAAATACGACTTTAAAACTCAAAATTACGACTTTAAAACTCAAAATTACGAGTTTTCAACTGCGCATGTGCAGTTGAAAACTCTATCTATCTGTAGGACTGAACCACTTCGATGTCCTGTCCATTTACTAAGATCGGTTGATGGGAAGGGTTCCTGAGAAAATCAATGATCATCTCCTTGGTCTTGGACGCATTGAGAATCGGACCATTTCACTCACTCCAGTATGAGAAGGCAGCCACCACCTCCCTGTTTTGTTTTGTCGTATGTGTTGGTGTTGTTTTCTATGAATGTTATTCATTGTCTGCTTTACTGTTTTACCACCAAACAAAGAAATACATGAGCATAAATCAGGAACAGCGTCCTTCCTCCTCACCGTGTCACTTGTGTGTCCCCTGCATGACTCCAGTCCACTCATCTCAGTCTGGTGCACAGTCCGCTTAATCCTCCTCCAGAGACACCTTCTGTCTTGGGCTGAGTCTATAATGTCACGCAAAATCATGTAAGGCAAGGAAAAATATAGAATTCAAAAAGGAGTAGGTCTAATTAAAGCAATGTTTCCTAACCCTTTTTACATTGTCTTTCTTTTGTTTCTTAATATCAAATGATTCAATTCCAATTACAGTCAGATCTTAACATAACACATAAATATCTGTTATTTATCTTAATTATAATTGACACCATTAATTGTCATATTTTAGGGTTGTAGATGTTCTAGGATCATCTACATAATCCAGTGCATTAAAAATGGTGCGTAGAATGAGCCAGGAGAGGACTGGCTGAGTGCTGACCGTAAACTGTTTATAGATGGGCAATGCTAATGAAGCCCAATAGAAACTTGGTTAACTCCTCTCAGTAACCGGTTTTCTTTCAATTAATAGGTAAATCGAAGCATTTTTACCAAAGCATTAGAAAGTGGGATAATCTATCACTATAAAAATCCCACTGGGTTTTTGAACGGTTCATTGCCGATGCAGGTGGGTCCAAGGACAATGATGATCCGGGACATTTAATAACATTGTCTGGACAGTGGTCATCCCGCTCCCCATGGATGAATGTCTCCTAATAATATGTTTGTTATTGTTTGCATTTCCTGTGTTCAAACTGGTTGATTCTCTGATCTGAATCGACAACTTTTCAAAGTCCTACGATACGACCTGGGGTGTTCAAACATTTCAGTAGAAGGGCCAACCACACAAATGTTAAAACTGTTTTGACTGGAATTGGCTCGCAGAAGTAAAATGAGATATGACCATACTGAAACAAATTTGCGACAGGTTGGCTGAATGACAAATGTTTACTTTCTCACCATCTACATCAGTGCCATGAACAAAATATTGTGACACTATGAAAAGCAAATGTTAGCATACACAAATAAATTGATTCTAGAGGTTTTGAGCTTTACATGGGGGTATAAACTGCCTGTATTTGCTGAGCTGAAGTTGGCTGGATGACACTATGAACTAAAAGTGTCAAATGTGTTTATGTTCTCGCTTCTGTCAGTGTGCCCCAGGGCAGCTGTGGTTACCGTAGTAGTTTATCACCACTGTGTATGGAGTGAAAGAATAATTACATGTAAAGCGTCTTTGAGTGTCCAAAAAAGCGCTATATAAAACCGATGCATTATTATTATTACAAAATGAAATGAAATAGGACTACTGTTCACTGTTATCAGAAGAATGGTTGTTTACCCGTAAGATAAATTTGTGGAGACAATCTGCAAACCAATAATGATAAAAGTAAATTTCTTGCAAAAAAGCAGAAGTCTCCCACAGAATACCAGCCTCGTGCCAGCATCAGAAATGATGACGTAAACACATTCTATCCACCCATACAGGATTACTGCAACATGCAAGACACGACTGAAATGAAACTGTTGATAAGAAATGAACAAGGAAACATGACTACGACAAGGTTTAGAGTGAAAAGTAACCCAATATGTCCTATTTATGTCCTTAAAACAGAAATACAGACTATAGACTACTCACCGTTTAATTCAATGGCCGCCACACTTCTGCTGAGCGCGCTCCCGTTTCTAGGCAACGACGCAAAAAGATGAGCCTTGCGTCAGGTACATAAAAGTTGCAACCAGCTCAAAAGTTCAGTAATCGAAGTACAAACCCGCGGAAAAAAAACAGTCGCAATAGGCGCCTAGCTAATCTACGAGTATTTTGTTTTGTCCTGTCACATTGTTGCGAGCATGAAACTCACAATATTGACAATAAAGGCAGCATAAGCTAGCCACGCTTACAGCAAATGGCAGATCAGCTGTCGTAATGTGTGGAGCGGTTCTGGTACAGGATCGAGGGCCCATCTCAAGTTTACTGCAGGGACACAGGTACACGTACACGCTTCAATGTTTTACAAGAGGCCAGAGAGAGCGTGGGGTCTGCATCCTGTGTTGGAATTCCAAAAGAAGCTGGTCAGTTCTCACCTGTTGTTTTGTTTTATCAATAAAGCTGGGGTACCTAAATTCAAACCCCAAAACTGGTTGGTTTTCTGTTGCATATTTAGATCGTAATATTTACAGTCTATGCTTTAGATCCACATCTAAAAGGGAAGGAGCTGAGGTCTCCTCCGTACAGTCTCTGCAGTTTGCTGATCTCCTCAGCCAGTGCTTTGTCGTACTCTGCTCCTGCATCCACCATTGTCTGCCCTCATTCAGACAATCAGCTCTTTGCCAAAAGTCTCAAAAATAATTTTTCCAAGTATGATAGAGCTAACACGTTTCCTAATAATGTGCTCTGACTTATTGACATCAGTTTTACTTTTACAAAACTTTCTCTCCTCTCTTGTTTATTTTTCTAAATATGTGACAATCGAACAGAAACACGCGTATGCATAGTGATTGAACTAGACGGATTTTATTACTTAGCTTTTTTTATGGTTTGAAAAATCTTTACCACAACTTTAGGTGATGTCCTCGGGCAAAACACTTCACCAACTTGCTGCAAGACGTAAGTTTTTGGTAAGTAGTCCCTTGCACTTGATAGATCTTGCCACAGCAGTGTAGCAGTGCTTCCCTCTAGTGGTGGCAGGTAACAAGTGCACTTTGTGAATGGACCTTGTTACATATGTTTAGAATTCAAGCTTTAAAGCTAGTCTAACTTTGACACTATTTAAATAAAATATAATCCATATCTCTAGTTCTTGCTTCAAAAATAGTATGGGTCTATCACGAGTTTTCACAGGTATTTTGGCCTCTGTCACATCTTTTTTCAGACATAAAAGTGTAAAAGAGAGGATCTCAGCCAATCAGCTGTCAGTGTGAAAAGCTAAACTGTTTTATGATTCACAAGATTTTTTTTCTATATGAACAAACACAATGTTCGTCTGAAACAGGAGAAAAGTTTGGTACTCCAGCTTTAAAGGACACAAATTATGAAAAATATATTGATGAATTAACCATGTCAATACATTTTGATACACATAAACCAGTTGTTTTTACCTCCATCCACACTAATATCAAAACTTATAATCCAAACACTGTCTGAGCTGTTTTCAAACTTGCTATATATTATGTAATTTTATGTGATGACAGTTTTTCTCTTTCAAAACTTAGTATTTCCTCAAAATGTGTTCCATCCATTGCCGGGTCTCTGAGCCAGGGGTCCAAGCTGAGACATCCAGATATCCCTATCCACACACACCTTTAGCCCATCCGGGGGGATCCCAAGGCGTACCTAGACCAGCTGGGAGTCCCTCTTGCGTGTCCTGGGTCGTCCTCGGGGGCTCCTCCCGGTGGGACCCTTTTTGTTGTACAGTCAAATTACTTTCTTCACAATGATGAACCTTGATGAGGCAGAATATAATTTCCCACTTTTTACCTGTAGACTCATTCTTATCCTCCTGTACATGTTAATTCTTTATTATTATTTACATGATGTGACCTTAGACTTAGATAGACGATGCTAACAATCTCGCTCATCGATGGTCACTAGGGAAGTGCTCACAGATGAAGTCTTGCTCGATTTTCTGATTACAAACTCCTCTCGCTCAGCAACCATTTATATCACACTAACCTCTTTGGTCTAAAAAAACCAAAGTTGTTTAGTTTGGTTTAGCTGGTTTAGTTGTGTGCGTAAATCCAATACGGATGGATAAATACATATATTTCAAATGGTTAAAATTGTGTTGAAAAGACAATAACTACTGCATCCGAATTCTTCTTAAAATGAAAGTTGTGCATGGTACATCTCTCTTTATTCAACATTATTCACAAAGTTTCCACTCAAAGAAAGCTGCGTGCTCATTGCCACATTCCCTTGTGTTCCCCACACACAGACATACAGAAAATGAGGCAGGAGGAAGAAGAAAAGGTCCTAAAGGTGCTGGGGGTCCTCAGTCAAACTTGGGTTCTGCAAAAACAGACAGACAGACAGCAGGAAATAGACATCAGTGACATGAAAACATTCTGAAATTCTGGGTAGGAACCATCCTATCCACTAACCACTAGCATGACACACTTCTGCCTGCTAAAGTGGTAATCTGTATCACATATTGATCTAAAACAATGACGTAAACATAACCAGGAGGTAATCTCTTATCCTTGTATTAATGTGGAGCTCATCTAACCACTGAAAGAACAGTTCATGTTTGAGAAATTGAACTTTTAGTGAATCCACTTGATTCTCTTTCTTCTCAGTGAAACAACTGATTCCACAACGTCGCACCAAATCTGACAATCAAATACAGCTTCAACTGCTGCTTCAAATTCTACTATAATCAAACATAGACTCTGAAGCAGACTAGGAAGATTTCTTTCCATGCATTTGTCTCTAGAAGGTTATACAGCTGCAGTAAATTCAGAATGCTGCATCTGGAGTCGTGACTAAAACCAGGAAGCACCATCACATCTCTGCAGATGTCTCAGAGAATAGACTTTAAAGCAGCTCTGCTATGTAAATCCGAGACATTTAGGGCCATATGAACCGAACTCTGAGAAGCACAAGGACTGGCCTTCTGCAGGTTCCCAGAGTCAAGACTAAACATGGAGAGGCAGTGTTTCAGAAAATGTTAGACAGGCTTCTACCCTAACAATGTTCAATCAGGTCTGTTTAGCTGTGCATACAACTGAAGGATTGTATTCTTGTTTTGATATGCACTTTGAGTTGCCTTGTGTCTGAACTGTGCTATACAAATAAACTTCCTTTGCAAAATAAACCCTGATATTGCATATACATAAGGAAAGGAGATGTTTTTACAGATGGAACTTTAAGTGTGTTTTCTCACCAGAGAACTTGAACGTGGGGAAGGAGCTGAGGTCTCCTCCTCCGTACAGTCTCTGCAGTTTGCTGATCTCCTCAGCCAGTGCTTTGTCGTACTCTGCTCCTGCATCCACCAGACCCCCAGACCTGTGGAGCACAACACCCATCACAGCAGGCTCCAGGGCAGTAGTGACCGGCCTTCAGCTCCCCTTGAACCCCACATTTTGAACAGGGATTATTTGTCTTGTCCCCTAGTTTACATTATCCTTCAACCAGGGAAACAATTACATTTGATAGTATAAAACAGGAGTTTCCAACCTGTGGCTCAGGAGCTACGAGCTTGCCACCCTCTTTCAGGTACTTTTACAAAGGATTAAAGATTTAACATATGATCCGGAAACGTTCACTTATGAGTCATATCTATTTTAACAATACACGTTTCCATTAAGGCAGGGCTGCTGTATTGTATAATGGTATATTATGCATGTGTGTTCTCCATGATAGGCTGTAGATAAATAGACAACTGCTAAAAGGAGGAGCTTTCTGCCATTTCTGTTTTATGAAAGTAGCTCTCCATTCTAAAAAGGTTAGAGACTTGTATAAAACATAGTTATGACAAATCAAAGCAACACTAAGTCTCTTTCTGTAGGTGGCAAATCACCTGCATGATTTCACAGAAATAAAACTCAGAAAAGCAGTGTTTCTCACACTATTTATGTGTTCCCTTTTGAGATGACAAACAAAATCCGTGCACAAAAATGGTGAAATGGAGAACACAGATGAGTAAATCAAGCAACTTTAACAAAAGCATTGTATTATAATAATAATAATAATATTATGTCTGTCAAAATAATCGCGTTAACGCACGTAAATTAATTCGTTTCATTAATCGCATTAAAAAAATTAATGCATTAACGCATGAATTGAATGACCCGCCCATGCATCCCATAATAACAATCAGAAGTGACGCGGACACATCATGGATTATAATGGGACAAATGTGTGTGAGATGGCGACAGAGCAGCTAGGTATTAGTTAGCATTAGCACAACTTCTTGTAAGCTGTACAGCCATCACCGATGAAATGGTACCAAAGCAACGCAGTTCGCGTCCGAGCGTAGATAGTCCGAGCGTAGATAGTCCGAGCGTAGATAGTCCGAGCGTAGATAGTCCGAGCGTAGATAGTCCGAGCGTAGATAGTCCGAGCGTAGATAGTCCGAGCGTAGATAGTCCGAGCGTAGATAGTCCGAGCGTAGATAGTCCGAGCGTAGATAGTCCGAGCGTAGATAGTCCGAGCGTAGATAGTCCGAGCGTAGATAGTCCGAGCGTAGATAGTCCGAGCGTAGATAGTCCGAGCGTAGATAGTCCGAGCGTAGATAGTCCGAGCGTAGATAGTCCGAGCGTAGATAGTCCGAGCGTAGATAGTCCGAGCGTAGATAGTTTGAAAAAATTAAGTGTAGGTTTGTGGTTGTGATGTGATATAGGGCTACAGTAGCTCAGTTGGTAGAGCATTAGACCTTCTCCACTGACTCCCACTGATGTCTGCTGTCGTTGTGTCCTTGGGCAAGACGCTTGAATGATTGGAGTGAATGATTAATGACACGTGAAGCAGATGCATTATTATTATTATAATATACTGTGTGAAAATGTTATGAAAAAAGTATGAGCACTTTTCCAAGTCACTGATTGACAATGATATGATAAAAAACAATGGGAATTCAGACTTACTGGCTTTGGGAGGAGTAGCTTCGAATAGCATCCAGGAAGAGCTTCTGAACTGGGTCTATCGGAGCTGAGGCAATTGGCAAAAAAACGTCAATCAGATTGAACCGCTAAATTGGATTTTGACACAAAGAAAACATGCAATAATCAAATAAATTGAAATAAACCTAACAAATATACATGAATAATGTAGATCTCAAATTAAATTAATACAAAACTATTACATTTAGAGTGAGCAGAAGCTCAACAACCTGGGATCCCCTGACTTTAGTGCTTAGTCCTCTCCTGTTCTCAATATTTTACTTTTCCCAAGCAAGATTCCAGCTTTGTGACCATGGAGATGTGAGACATTTAAACAAGTCTGCACTGATGCTGCTCTGCTGTTCCTATTAGAAAAAAAGCATAATTTACCCTCAAATGGTTCCACTGGGAGGTCCTCTGGAGCTGCTTCAGAGACCCCTGGTGCAGCGTCCACCAGCTCTTCTGTGGAGTCTACGGCAAGGGCTACATCCACAATAGCCTCAGGTTCAGCTGGAGCTTTAGAGTCTACTATGGATTCGGCCACTGTTTCTACAACGTCATCTACAACTGGTGCAGCTTCGGAGATGGCATGAGCAACAGCCTGGACTCCAGGGATGGCAGCAGCAGCTGCAGCTTCTACTACAGGAGCGGTCTCTAGCACCACCTCAGCCACTGCTTCCACCAGAGGAGCAGCTTCTGTCACCACCTCCGCAACACTCTGGACAACATCTTCAGCAGTCTGCTCAATCACCTCTGAGGCCTCCACCACCAAAGGAGGCTCAACACTGGTCTCTGGTACCTGTGGAGGCTCAACCACCACCTCTTCTTCTATAGCTTCTGCCTCAGCGGCAGCCTCCACTACAGGCTCTGGGACTGGTTCTGTAGCCGCTTCTGTGACTGGTTCAGGGGCCGCTTCTACGACTGGTTCAGGGGCCGCTTCTACGACTGGTTCAGGGGCCGCTTCTGCGACTGGTTCAGGGGCCGCTTCAACGACCGCTTCAGGGGCCGCTTCTACAACCGGTTCAGGGGCCGCTTCTACGACTGGTTCAGGGGCAGCTTCTACAGCTGGTTCTGAGGCCGCTTCAACGACTGGTTCTGGGGCCGCTTCAACGACTGGTTCAGGGGCCGCTTCAACGACTGGTTCTGGGGCCGCTTCAACGACTGGTTCTGGGGCCGCTTCAACGACTGGTTCAGGGGCTGCTTCAACGACTGGTTCAGGGGCCGCTTCTACGACTGGTTCAGGGGCTGCTTCAACGACTGGTTCAGGGGCTGCTTCAACGACTGGTTCTGAGGCTGCTTCAACGACTGGTTCAGGGGCTGCTTCAACGACTGGTTCAGGGGCTGCTTCTACAACTGGTTCAGGGGCTGCTTCTACAACTGGTTCTGAAACTGCTTCCACAACTGGGGCTGCTTCTACGACTGGTTCAGGGGCTGCTTCTATGACTGGTTCAGGGGCTGCTACTGCTTCAATGACAGGTGCTGGGACTGCCTCGATGACAGATTCGGGGGTTGGTTCTGGAACTGGTATTGAGACAGCTTCTGCTGCCGCGGCTGCAATGGCTGCATTGGATGCTGGTGCCTTCGCTCCTTCAAAAGGCTTATGTTGAACAAGCTTCTCAATATCAAAGTATGTTGCAGATTGTGATTTGTCTTCTGTAGATAAAGACAGAAAAAAAAAAAACACATTTTAAAACACTTCGATCCGTCCAATGATAACCAAACTGACAACCACAGACTGCTTATAGGTATGGAGAAATCACATGCGCAAGCCTAATAGGGAAGTGCCGCTCCATAGAGCGCCATAAGGACTTCAGGACAAACTTGTGATTTGAAGCCTTGGTCAGTGAGATTTCCCAGGACTTCAGCCTTGACCTGTCCTTTAAAGCCTCAGAGAGTTCAGTATTTTTTTAACTGACCTGTCCTTCACATCCTCTGGGAGATTGCCTAAGACTTCAAGAGTGAGGTCCAGGGCAATGTGGTCGAGGTCAAGGTGGATCTTGACAAGTGGATCCAGGTCTATTTGAGGACGGAGACCAACCACACCGTGACCATCATGAAGAATCAATATCCAATGTCCATCCATCCTTTTTCTTCCTCTTAATCCATTTCTGGGTGGAGGGAGGAGGGGGGGTCAGTCAGAGCTGCACCCAGTACACATAGCACCAGCCCCTCACTGATCCTTCTGCAGGTGGTGAGTCCACAGGAGCCTTGATTATTCAGCGGGGGCTTCAGGAAAGGTGGGGTTAAGTGTCTTGCCCAAGGACACAACGGCAGCAGTCATCAGTGGGAGTTGTGAAGTAGGTTTTGTGGTGGGCTTGAACCCACAACCTTCAGGCCCAAAGGCCAATGCTCTACCAACTGAGCCACTGTTGCCCATGGGGCCCCTCTGGGTTTTTGGTATAAAATCCAGTTTTACACCTGGATGTGGTATAAGTGCTGGCTAGTCTTGACCATTGAAACAAACAAGTCTTACAAGACTAATAACTTACTGTTTTTTTTTATCTTTTTGGAGCCTCCAGATTTTGAGCTGTAGGCTGCTGCAGTGGGACACCTCAGGACGGCCAAGCACTCGGCCTGCAAGGGCTGACCACAGAAAAGTTTACACATTGTCAAACAAGACCCAAGCCATAAATTCACTGCTTAACTAAAGAAACTACTTTAACTTAAGTCAGCACACCATCTTACTTATCAGCAAATCAATTAACTTTTGGATTTACATGTAAATAAAACATGTGTATTGATACATAGATTGAAACTTGTTTTATGTGATTATAGCATATAACAGCATACATAAGGCACAGTAATAATACAGCCTTTATTAATTTGAAGACTCACAAATTATTTAGTTTATGCTCACAAATCAACCTAGGGATTGAGCTTCTAGTAGATTGTTTAAATACTTTGAACAACTTGTAAAATGCAATAATTTAGAAGCCTCTGATTTATGGGACATGAACAAATAAATCTTACTTGAACCACATGCGCATTAAAATAAAGATGAATACTTTATACGTTTCAGTGTTGCATCCCAGGTTACAGAACAGTATGAATCAAGACCAGATAGCGAATATTAAGCTTAAACTGTCTTTTAAACTATTTTTTTAAAACTATCTTTTGCGTGTTATTGTGAATTTGTAGCTAAGCTCTGCAATAATGCCATTTAAATGCATGTATCTTTAGGGACAGCTGTGATTCCTTTGCCCACTTGTTCTGTGTGTACTACATGCAAGGCAACACTGAGCATCAGAATCAGAATCAGAATCATTTTTATTGCCACGTAAGTAACAGGAGGTCACAGACTTGGAAATTGCTTTGGCTCAGTGCAACAGTCAGAAAGAGATAATAAAAATAAGAATAAAAAACACTTCTAAAGAATAAAGAGCATGTGTAAGGTTAGAGTTCAACTTATGTCCAAGAGTAAAAAAAAAAGTAAGAGTCAACAGGGCCTCAGGCTCAAGGACATGCTCTTCACTGGACCCTATAGGCCAGAGCCTATAGAAATTGTTGACACATGCTTCTTCAGGCCTGAAAGTTGACATGCCAGAACTATTTTCCATTGAACAAACTAAGTGAGAGTTTTGAGAGTTTGAGAGTTTGAACACTCCTAATGCCTCGAAAAGTGTATACTAAATATAAATGTGTGTATGTGGGGGTCTTGGTAGTACTTTTACCTTGATACTGCACAAACGTCCAATCCTGAGCAGTGCAGCCATTATCAATCAATCTATCAGGGGAAAAAAATAGGCAAAAATCACAAACTCAATCAACACACGTCAAAAAGCACACCCAAAGACCATATTGAGGCATGCATGGATTCTCCCAGGCCAGTTTGTGTCTGCCCAGGCAGGGAGACTCGCAGGACATCCCGGGGCATCAGGTTGCTCCCTGGAGGAATGTACTCCACCAGGTTCCGTCCCAAACACACGCGGAGCAGAACTTACCGGAGCTCTCCTGACCTGTGACCTTTCTGCAGCCGGGTGATGTCGGTGGATGTGCAGAGGTTCAGGGCGCCATGGACATATCCCTGCACACAGAACAGTCGCCTTTTATGTAACACACGAACACGCCCCCTCCGCGCAGACACAGACACATGTGCATCATGTATGTCACGGTTATACCCGAGTAATAAGCTCTGTGAGCCCACTGGCGTCTCATCAAGCTGCCCAAATGTGTATGTATGCAACAGAGCGGTGGAATGTGTTTGCTTTAACGTAGAAAGTGCCCAGAAGCGCGTGTGTACATTTTGTACTTTTGAAAAGGGGTGTGTACAATAACAACCGATGATGGCCGAAGCTACGCGTCACGTGACTGCCGGAAATGCCCGAGGATTTTGCATTGTTTACATATTATTGCTATATTATCATTAACATGTTTTTTTTTCGTTGAAAGGCATTTTTATCGTTGACTTGAATAGATAGCCTTCTCGCATGTTTTATTTTGAACAGGAAATGAAAAAGGCAAGATTTCAAGAAATGTTTGCTGTTATTATAGTATTTTCCCATTGGCTGTAAATATAAACAAATTATTACTCACAAACACAAATATACACAGACGCGCGTGCAAACGCATGCACGCGCACACAGGCACACGTACACGTTCCATAGACTGTCACTTCCCTATCGCTGCAGTTACACGTATCAACCACCAGATGTCAGTGGTCTTCAAATCCTTGAACCCCCTCACATCCCCACGTGTTGTAAACAAAGATGGCGGCGGTGCAATTCTGTGGAGAGTGGTTCATCTGCAGCTGTGACAAGCGGCTTCTGGCGGTCCACAGCACCCAGGACAGGTGAGCTCCTCCCGGGTACGGCAGGGGACACGGTCGGGGCTCCGTGTACGCTGAGTTTTGATGATTTCAGTCAGACATACAGCTTACTCAGGGGCCGAAAGTCTCCACCCTTCACACACATGAAGCTTTTACAACTTACTGTGTGCTCTTACTGATGAAATATTGACACTATGGAGGGGGCAGATAAATTACAAAAAGTAATAATTGTGTGAATATGAAACCCTCTTCAAACAATGTAAATCGTGAAATATTAAAATGATAAACAATTATTTAACATTTATTGTTGGCTAGTACCATATATTATACAGAGAAAGGCTGATAAGTGTGAGTTTTAGTTTAGTTTAGTCCAGCCGCCCTGGCTCTGCAGCCCGAGTCCTGCCTGGATCTTCAGCCCTGAATCTATTGTTGAATGTTATTTGTTAAAACTGTTTGATTCTCTCATGTGTTGGTGAATCAACAACTTAGTAATGAAGACTGCTGTTATCAACAATTAACTAACACCTGACCTCACATGTCATGCATCCCATCTGTGCAATAACTTGTCAGAATGTGCAATATAGAAACAGATGTGTCCACTGTCACTTTACTTTGTCACTTTACTTTGTCACTTTGGCCGATACCTTCATGCTGCTAACATGTACAGATGTATATGCACAACAACTATTTCTTGCTAAATTGGAGATTTTAGATTTTTATACCAGTGATTTTTTTTTATTTCTTAATATCTCGAGCCAGGCTCCAAAGTCACTGGTTCATTTGAGACCAAAATGCTTAGTTCAAAGTTGAATTAGTTGAAATCAAATGAAGTTTCTTCCCTCATTGTAAGTCTTCTGGGGCCAGTTTGGGTCAGATATAGAACCGGCATAGTTTTTAATAAATGAGTTTAATCTATTTATAGCTCAGACGTGGTTTTGCCCTGATGTGTGTCCGCAGAGCTCCTTTTGAGTTTGACTGCAGCGCTGCAGAGAAGAGACCCAAGAAAGCTGAGACAGACGGGTGAGTGCGAAGGATTGATCTAGTGTAAAAATGGTTTAGCTGCAGCTCTAACCTCTGTGTCTGTCTGTTTTGATTTTAAAGGGACCAGGCTCAGAGTGGAGAGCATGACCCGGGCTCAGACCACATCCTGGCCATGGCCACGTCCGCCTCGGGCAGTCTACTGGCTCTCAGCGACGACAGTAAGAGGCTGGTGCTGCTGCGGAGGGAGCCGGCCTGGACTGTCGTGAGTGTGAGGTGAGGCCTGCTCTTTGCCACAGACTGTTCCTATAACAGTCGCTATTGGATGGAACACTATACTCTTTCATGCGATATCTTGTACTCGTCGGACTTCCCAAAAGCAGACAGACAGACAGACAAAAAAAAGTGCAGTAATATACCTGGGTTCCCTGCTGGTTTGTGAGAAAAACACACTGTCATATAAGAAATACAAGCGCAAATATGTTATCCCTTATAATAAATGTGCTCACACTAATGCAATTCTAATAAATCCTCAAATTATTATTTCATATTGCTTGTTTACATAAATGTGTTTAAGTAATAATAATTTTGCAGTACAACCTTCAGTGTGATTTATAAAACATCCCTCTCTTTTTGTTTGTTCTTTCATCCAATCACAATCTGACACGTGTCGTAGAGATGCAAACTTAGGGACCATAGACCCAGCGTTGAATTTCCAACTTGAACATTTGTTACTTCGGCTCGGTTATGTTCCTCTTTACATGTGCTTTGCAATTAGGGCTGGGCGATATAAATGGTATAAGCGGTATGCGATATAAATTTGGCCCACGGTAGAGATTTTTGTTATACCGGCATATTAGAATAGGTCATTATGTCATCAAATTGCGCAGGCTCTGACACCAGCAGAAAGGACCAAAACAAACCGGCATTCAGCAGCATTAGCCTAGCACATTAGCCTAGCAGACACCACTGGAAACAACGAACAACAGCACGGCATTAACACCGCGTTTCTGTCTATGTATTGTTGTCACAGCGCCCCCAGCAGAGGTAAATACACACACAGTAATCACAGTTTAAGAGTCTACCTTTTGTCCAATCAGTGTCAAAGGGGCGTAGGCTCGAAGCGCCAGTGTGAGCCAAAATAGATCCATGCGTGTGCCGTGTCCGCAGCATCACAGCAGAAGTTTGGGAAAGTTAGCGTCAGATTCGGACCTCCGCGGTCAATTTCTCACAAAAAATACTTTGTTAAACAAAATTAATTGTGCCAAAATGATCATTTACATCAATTGTTCAAATCCGATGCGCTGTTTTAATGAACATAAATCCATTGAATCATCCAGTTCACTGCAAGCGCAGAGAAAAGCGCTTAGGGAGCGTCAACAAATGTCAAGACCAGCTTTGTAAACGAACAATAGCTTTTACTGAAGTCATGTACCTGCACAAAACTCTCAGACACTATAAATAATGACCATGTCTAACTCCTACAGACTTTGATTTCAACATGTGAGTTTTTTATATTTTGAATGAATGCATATGTTTTTCTTTTTAAAAATTGCTTTTACAGTGAACGGTATTTACTGTAACATACATAAATAATGTATGTTACAACATGTGTCTCTTTATTCGTCTCACAACTGAATAACTCAAAAAATATATATATTAGATTCTAATATATAAATAAGTAACAATCTTGACTATTTTATGCAAGAACCTGCTAGACCTATATTGAAATTCACACATCAAATTATACCGCAATATATACCGTCTACCATCTGTGTCCCAAATTATACCACAATATGAATTTTAGGCCATATCGCCCACCCCTATTTGCAATCATGGGGAGATTTTTGCCATTTTTACTTTAACCACTTTTATGAATATATGATTTTTACTGTAACTTACCCTTCTACACAATTTATTCTTGTATAGCCCTAAATCACAACAGCGGTCATCTCAGAGGACTTAACAAAACCATTGAAATCGCCAACACAGATCAGAGAATCCACAGTCAAGAATCAACAGTCAAGACAAGGTCTGGTAGCTAAGGCTTCTAAGTCTTACCTACCAGGCTTTATGCTGGATTAAAAAGGGATGTTTTAACCTTGGAGGGCCGAGAGTGACCTGTCCTGCTCACTTTCAACTATGTGCAGCAAAGACTTGTGATTGGGACATGTCGTCTCATGCCCCATGTCCCTCTTACAGCCCTCCCCCCTCTCTCTCCTGTGGCAGGTGGTTGGCCCGGCGCTGCACGGCTCTGGTCTTCAGTCGGGCGGAGGACTTCCTGCTGGTGGCCGATAAGTCCGGAGATGTGTACAGTGCCTCTGTGAAGGAGCCCAGCCGGGAACCAGAGCTGCAGCTGGGGCACCTCTCTATGGTGTTGGACGTGGTGAGGAACGCAACAGGACTGTCATAACTCATGCAAGCACTTATCTGACGGTGCTTCATGTCCTCAGATATGACTTCATGTTTGGATTTGTTCAGATTTCTTTGATGAAATTTTGTTCTCCTCATGCGCTGTGTGTATATTCCAACATCATACAACCCTAGTATAACATGACAGTTAGCTTTTATTTAAAGCGCTCAGACCTACAAAAATATTTCAGCAGTGGTGAGTTCAGGTGGTTAAAAAAGTTCACCTAAAATTGCAATCTGCGTTGAAACCAAAGAGACACAACATTAATAACATTCAAATACATATATTTATATACTTTTTTGTTTGTTTTTCTTGTTGAATGTTGATGTGTCTGTCTGTTTTGTTGTCTTTAATAACAAAACAGATGTTTTCGCACATATTTTTGATATTGTAGTTGAACGCACCAATATCGCGGTGACAATATTTTTCCCATATATCGTGCAGCCCTACTGGACACCATTGAATGACACACACACTTGCATTCCTTTCATTCATTCGTTCATAAGGTTTGTTTGATGCCCCTTGTTATGGTAGTTTATTCCACATTCAGTAATGTAGACTTTATGTAGGTGGACAATGCTAGCCCAATGAAGCCCAATAGGGAAGTGCTAATGGTCAAAGTTTTGCTCTAACTCACTCTGGCTACATAAATACCATGGGCCTCATTCACGAACGGTTCTTAGGAACAGATTTGTACGTAAATCCTACTTACGAGGTTTTTACGAAGAAAGTGGCATTCACGAATTTTTCTCGTAACCAGAATTTCTCTTGGGCAAGTACAAATCCTACGAGTCCTCAGGAGCACTCGTACGCATTCAGTGCCGACATGTTCACACGCCGGGGTTGTCCTCTTTGGTGAAGTTTAATAAAAATACAACATTCCAGTGATATTTCCGTCATATCGATGTATGTATTTATTTATTTGTAGTGATCTTTATTAGTAATCTTTATTTATATACCGCCTTTTTCACTGCAGATCTGGCCTACTTTTTAATTCATTTTGAAATGAAATGTGCCAACGCTTTATCAAATACATTGGAAATCTTGCCGTGTATTAGTGACCCCTTCCTATTTATAGGGGGCATTTCTTTATCCACGGGCCACAGAACAACGGCATATATACTGCTGCTGCAGGAGGTTACTGGGTCCGCGCTGAGTCTCTGCGCTGGTCTCTCCTATGGATCTATACGGGTCTGCACTGGTCTCTCCCATGGATCTATACGGGTCTGCACTGGTCTCTCCCATGGATCTATACGGGTCTGCACTGGTCTCTCCCATGGATCTATACGGGTCTGCACTGGTCTCTTCCATGGATCTATACGGGTCTGCACTGGTCTCTCCCATGGCTCTAGACGGGTCTGCACTGGTCTCTCCATACGGGTCCGTGCTGGTCTCTCAAGTCTGGTCTATGCGGTCTTTCTTTGGTCTGCGCTGGTCTCTGCGCACCGGTCTCTCCAGTCAGGTCACTACAGTCTATGCGGTCTCTCCTATAGGTCCGCGCTGGTTTCTGTGGTCACTCCAGTCTCTCCTCGGGTCTGCATTGGTCTCAGCGCTGGTCCGCGCTGGATCTCCTCCCAGGATCCAAAATATTTTGAGATTAATCTCAAAACATTTTGAGATTCATCTTTAAAATAATACATAATATATTTTTAAATTAAGCTCATAACATTTAGAGATTAATCTCATCATATTCTTAGATTAATCTCATAATTTTGCTAGTTCGACTTTATTATCATAATATTTCGACTTTATTATCATAATATTTCGACTTTTAAGTCAACATTTTATAACTTTATTCTCAGTCTGGCAAAAGAAGAAAAAAGGGTGACTCTTTTGCGCCGTGTAACTCTTTGCTTTAGGCCTGTTGCTGTTTCCTCTGCCGTCTGCACACGGCCCTGCAGTCCCTTTTATGGGCATTAATGGGCGGTTACTTATGCTAAGTACCTATGCTAATGAAGCACCTGGCACGCGCGCTCTACTTACGAGGAAATGGGATTCATCAATCTAAGAGAACAGCTGCGAAAAATTCAGCGGCTTACGAGTGCGTTGATGAATCCCACGTAGGGACTTCTTAGAAATCTACTTAAGGACAACTTGAGAAGAAATTTGAGAAGTTTCTTACGAAGTTATTCGTGAATGAGGCCCAATGTATTGAAAGTAAAGAGTAAACTCCTCAGTTCAGTAACCGTTTGGGGTTTAGCGCTATGTGATCCTGGTGTTTATATATTGATATGGTCTTTGGTCAATCCTTGGCTCATATTTGGATTTACTATCGGGTGCCTTAGGGCAGGGGTGTCCAAACCTTTTAGTAAGAGGGCCGCATTGGTTCACCAAAAATTACCAGGGGCCGACAACATGTGTTAACTGGAGCTGGGGTGGAAGTCCCTACTTGACTTATCTTTATGAAAACACTGACCTAAAGCTGTGATCAGATATTAAATGATCATGCATGTTAATACTGGCAATGCACAAAGAGTTTGAGCAAAGAACTAGTTTTTCAATATGTGCCTCTTCTTTTTGCAGTTGGATAATCAGGAACCCTAGCTTTAATTCATTAAAGCCATTATAGTCATTATACCTGCTTTCATGATCACATCAAAGAAATCGTGTAAAAAACCTTTTAATTGGTAAATGTAACCACTTCAGCAAGTTGAGCATTCTAACTCGTGCTACTGTTTTTCCTCTGCAGGCTGTGTCTGTGGACGACCGCTTCATAGTGACGTGTGATCGAGACGAGAAGATCCGAGTGAGCTGGTCCAAGTCTCCCTACAACATCCAGTCCTTCTGCCTGGGACACCAGCAGTGAGTGTGGCCCATAGAACATATATCAGGAGTGAACTGAGCGAGTGCTGACATCACCATAGTGTTTGCCAAATGCAGAATAAGTCGATTTGAACAATAGCTGGCTGGAGCCAATTTTCTCTTAAAGGCATTTGTTACAATGGGGTTACAGCCCGTACACACCGCACAGAGACCAGGCTGCTGCTGCTCTCCCTGTGTAGTCTAGATAGATGGATAGATACTTTATTTGATAACTTATGTTCAACGCTGCCAAAACATCCTTGCATCACAAATTCAGAAAGTGAATTGGTCAACAACATGAGTGTGTCTGTGTGTGTTCAGGTTTGTGAGTGCTCTGTTGGCGCCCTCCAGAAGCCCCCGCTCTCTGCTCTCCGGCTCTGGGGTGAGTACTGCTCCACCACTGATTTGAAACAAAGTTTGGATTGTCTCACTATCTCTCACCATAGAGGTATCTAAAGCTAGCATTCTTTTCCTAAAGACAAACATAGTCAATTCACTGTTCTATAGCATCACGCTTAAAGGTAGACAGGAGGATTTTCCCAAATTTTAGGAAAGAACCGCCCTCTCCACTTTTTGAAAAAATCTCTGTGTTCATATTTGCTGAGCACGTATCACCAGAATGATTGACAATTGGGAAGACTAATAGTCTTCATGATCCACCCGGAGGTAATAAATCCTCCTATATACAGTACCTTTAAGGCATCATCATAAAGCACAGTCGCTGTCGCTGGGAAACACTGACTTTCAACATCCCCAGATTTTCAAGGTCCTGGACTGGCTCGCCCACTTCAGGACCATTAAACATGGGTCCTTCTTTGCCTGAGCGACGTGTTTGGGATCATTGTCATGTTTTGTCTTTCAAACTGTCACTGATGTATGTGTGTGCGCGCGTGTGTGTTCAGGACGGCACCGTCTGTGTGTGGGACATACACACTGGTCAGCAGCAGCAGTGTGTGGAGCTCAGAGGACAGCTGCAGCCTAAAGACCAAGACCAAGCCCCAGACCAGGCCCCCAACGATGCTCCAGAGGTGAGAACTCAAAACACCTGAGCAGTCACAAACTGCACTTTTTAAATGTCTATTGTGTGTTCTTAGTGCACGTGTGTTTAGTAGTAATTATAAAACTTTATGTTGATCCTTTTATTTATCACTCACTCACTCCATTTTTACCTCCCAACTTGTTTGCACCGAGAGCCATTCCTAGCAATGTGCAATTTCCTAGCATGTGACTGCTAGTTACTCACAATGACAATAAAAACAATTCTGTTTCTGATTCTTATGCCAGGTGTACAGTGACCCCGGTGCAGGTCCTCCAGGTGCAGGTCCTGGAGGACTTAGAAAGTCTTAAGACCTATGATCTGGTGTAGACTGACCTCTGAGGACTGAGAGTCCTGGTGTGGAGAAGCTTTAGGGCCGGACTCTACAGGTTCAAGGGGATCCACAGTGGACCACTGTAGAGTGGAGTCGGTGTATGTTACAGACCACAGTCTACCTGGACCAGAGTGGGAGTCTGTTTACGCCCAGCGTGAGAGCAGTCCTGTCATTGTGTGTGTGCAGAGGCTGACGGTGAGCAGGCTGAGGAGCTCTCCTGATGGGTGTCACATGGCAGTGCTGTGTGAGAGGTGCGTCTCCAATTCCTAAGCTATGGATATTTAAACATTAGTCATTTATATTTGTATAGCTACACTTCAGACACTCACCATTCTAATGCTTTTGTGGCTATTGCAATGAGACGGCTGTTTCATTCTATACTTCTTGTTTGAGTTGCAACACGTCTAAATATAATGTATAATATTTTATCACAGCTTTCAGAATAGAATTTTTGTACGGAAAATGTAAGGAAGATCAGCTCTTAGCACAAAGTGTCATATACTAACAGGGCTCTGTGTGTAAGAAGAACCCTCCTGGCAGATGTATAATAATCAATACATTTCAATCAATCAATCTATCATTTTTATTTATAGAGCCCTTCGCAACACTCAAGGCGACCAAAGTGCATCACAATAAAATTACATAAAATCCATTAAAACAATAAAGCATAAAAAACTGTCACCGTGCTAATGAGTGATGAAAGTGTTAAAAGCCAGTCTGAATAAATACGTTTTGAGCCTTGAAAAATCAGTGAGGACACACAGATCAGGGGGCAGCTTTTTCCAGAGTCTGGGTTCAGCGACTAAGAAGGACCGGTCTCCCCAGTGATTGGACCTAGTTCTAGGTACTTCCAGGAAGAGTTGAGATGAGGACCTCAATGATCTGCCCGAGTCACAAACAGTCAAAAATTCGGACAAGGACTGGATGTACCATATGTCACATTTAGTGACATGTTTTGGCGCTTTTACCCAAGATTGAATTGAATAGAGTTAATGAAAGTGAAACCTGGAGGAGGTAAAGCAGGAGTGATGACCCGGGGAGGAGGCGGGTTGCTGCAAGATCTGAAAGCCTTAGATCAGGAATATGAGGCTCTGTATAAAATTACAGCAGATACAAAATGTAACCTTTTTATGGGAAAGAGCTATTACAATTTTGGCCAAGTGACAATTTTTTGACTTCTGACATTTGACCCATTATTTTGAGGACATAGTGTAAGGATCAATGAATAGTTGAAAGAATGGAAATGATATTTATTTTTGAATTGTGTCTGTGGGCCTCAGGGTGAACCAGATCCAGCTGCTGAGCCTGGAGCAGACTGAGCAGGGCACAGTGCTCTCCCCTCACAGTCTCCTCAGCCTCAGCCACTGCCCCCTGGACCTGACCTTCGACCCCTGTGGCCGCCTCTGGGTGCTTCTGGACCGCACTGAGCGCCCCCTGGAGGTCTACAGCCTCACACAGGGATCATACCAGCAGGTGTGTGAGATTAAGTCAAAGCTCAATCCAATCATATAAATGGGAGATTTGCTGGGAAGCTGTGAACCCTGTGTTTCACCCATGGATGTATTCTATTATCTTTTTACCATAGACCTCAATGTCAACGAAAACGACTTGTCTTCAGTTCACTGTGAAAGCTGTAGTTTCCCTTAGGTCTGGTTTTGTGGGGATTTTGGTGTCCCTGGTCATCCTGAACTTTTTTCTTTCTAAAAACCCGCGTTGGCGCTCTGATTGGTCAAAACGCACCCATGTTCCACTGGAACACTGTGAAGTAGAACCCTACAAGACCAGGAGAACCAGAGCTAGTCAGAAGGCGTCATTTACGCTAATTATTACGACTATATTTTACACAGAAACCATGAAATTATTCACTCTGAACATGAATCTTTTGATTATTGAATTTAATCCATTCAAGAAGAGATCCAAATAAGAATATTTTTCAAAAGTCATATGAGTATATGACGGACTTGGTACACGCCTTAATTATAACAAACAAACACTTTACATATGTCACTTTGCTGTTGTGAGTCTGTTACATATTAGTTTCACCTGTTTATTCTGACCGATCATTGTAGTCTTATTATATTAGTTTAAAAGTGCATTTTAAAAGTGGTGCTGGAATCTTTGTGCTGTGTCTCAGGTGGACGCCCAGAGTCCAGATGTGTCCAGGGTGACCAGTGCCCTCTCAGCGCTCTGGGAGTCAGTGGACGGTGAGAGACGCACACACACGCTCTGGTACACACACGCTCTCACACACACACGCTCTGGTACACACACGCTCTCGTACACACACGATCTCATACACACACGCTCTCGTACACGCACACGCTCTCATTGGCACACGCTCTCATACGCACACGCTCTCAGATACACACGCTCTCATACGCACACGCTCTCATACGCACACGCTCTCATACGCACACGCTCTCATACGCACACGCTCTCATACGCACACGCTCTCATACACACACGCTCTCAGACACACACGCTCTCACACGCGCACACGCTCTCGTACACACACGCTCTCACACACACACGCTCTTGTACACACACGATCTCATACACACACACAATCTCATACACACACACGCTCTCAGACACACACACGCTCTCATACACACACACGCTCTCATACACACACACGCTCTCATACACACACACGCTCTCAGACACACACACGCTCTCATACGCACACGCTCTCATACGCACACGCTCTCATACGCACACGCTCTCATACGCACACGCTCTCATACGCACACGCTCTCACACCCACACGCTCTCACACGCACACATGCTCTCATACAAACATGCAGACACGCTCTCAGACACACACGCTCTCATACGCACACGCTCTCATATGCACACGCTCTCATACGCACACGCTCTCATACGCACACGCTCTCATACGCACACGCTCTCATACGCACACACGCTCTCAGACACATGCTCTCAGACACATGCTCTCAGACACATGCTCTCAGACACATGCTCTCAGACACACGCTCCTACGCACACGCTCTCATACGCACGCGCTCTCAAAAGCACACGCTCTCATACGCACACGCTCTCATACGCACGCGCTCTCATACGCACGCGCTCTCATACGCACGCGCTCTCATACACACGCGCTCTCATACGCACGCGCTCTCATACGCACGCGCTCTCATACGCACGCGCTCTTATACGCACACGCTCTCATACGCACGCGCTCTCATACGCACGCGCTCTCATACGCACACGCTCTCATACGCACACGCTCTCATACGCACACGCTCTCGTACGCACACGCTCTCGTACGCACACGCTCTCATACGCACACGCTCTCATACGCACACGCTCTTGTACGCACACGCTCTCATATACACGCTCTCAGACACATGCTCTCATACGCACGCGCTCTCATACGCACGCGCTCTCATATGCACGTGCTCTCATACGCACACGCTCTCATACGCACACGCGCTCATACGCACACGCGCTCATACGCACACGCGCTCATACGCACACGCTCTCATACGCACACGCGCTAATTACAAGTTTTTAAAATGTAGCATGTTTTCTAACAAAACGGCATGTTGTGGGAAGATTTTATTCACAATTTTTTTTCTTTTACAAGACTTTCTGTTGTGCTATTCTCGACTAAAATTGACCCTCCAGTTATTTAAAAAAAATCCCCATCAATTTTTTTTCTTCTACTTTTAAGCACTGTGGTCATTTTGACCTGAGGGTAGCACAAGGGTTAAGTTTTAAGATGTATTAAGCCTAGTGTATAGTCGTGCGGCGCGGACCTTACGGTGGTGACATCGCTTACGCGTGGATCACCGCAAGGCCCTTACGTTGCCTGCTGCGCACCCTCGACAATGTCTAACTACGTAAGGGTCGCCGCAAGGAAGCTCCGCTGTGATTGGTCCGTGTGTGTGTATTGGAAGGAAGCACGGAGCGGCTGCAGGAGCAAGGAGGAGGCTTTATGGAGCAGACTGCTTTGTGCTTCGAAGGAACCGAAGGAAAAGTAGTTTGGGCTCATGGCTCTGAGCCTGAGAGACTGTGGACTGTTCAGTTCTGTTGGATATATAACTTATAAATGTTTTGCACTGTTCATGTCTAGTTTGAATCGTAGCTGCGTCTGTTGCATTCCTCCTGCACTCGTAAATTGTTCATGTTTGTCTCAGATATTTACCACTTGTTTTGCTGTTTGTGTTGAATACACTTTGATAATAACTATGTTTCCAACAAGAACTGTGTCTTTGTTCACAGCATCACAGTTAAATGAGTTGAAACGATGAGTCCATAGAACGGTCACATAAACCTACAGTAAAAACACATGTAATGAGCTCAAACAGCTTCGCTATTGTTTTTGTTCTGAAGAGGAGAAAGTAGCAGCACCAATGGGGCCGCTTTGTTTGGCAACTCCTGTGAGTTCGCCATCACGTGGTTGGTTGTGGGATTACAACATTCGGGGAATGTGCGAGTGTACCACAAACTGGTTACGTAGGTCCAATGTAGCAGCGCTGTAAGCAGCGCAGCACGAGTGTACACAGGCCTTTAGAATAAGAGAGGGCCAACAAAAACACCTCCCTCTAGTGGTAGAAGTGAGAAATGGCACTATTTTCTATCACGAGCCAAAGGCAATTTTTAGTAAGAGGGGCGCTTAAAGCTGCACTAACTGACTTTGGGATTTTGAAGCCGTGGACTCGCTGGCCTCTCTCTTTCTGCTCCCCTCCCCGCACCCACGAAGCTATCGCCCCCCACACACACTCACTGTTGGGACGGAGCTAGTGTCTCCCAATATGGATAATACATGAATATGGATTTGCACGTGGATGGCGTGACCATAAAACGATAGAACCGGGAAGCGCGGAGGAATGGGACTTTCTTTTGGATGGCTGTTTCGCTAAGTAAGCAGTAACCGGTGATGAAGACACGAAGCTTCAGGTTAGCTCCTCGGCTTGTTGTGCTAACTTAACCGTCTATGCTAACGGACCTGTAGATTTCTCACGAAAGTGGGGGCCAGTGGTCCGTTGTGATTGGTCACAATCTGCGACCCGAAACACATTCTCTTCCTTGTTTCATCAAAACTCGATCTAAAATATAATGTCACGCCAGCACAAATCTGCGCTAATTATTCTTCAAAAGGACGTATATCCCAATGCACTACATGAACATGGATAGCATTTTCGTAATGAATACGAAAATAAAGTCAGTTAGTGCAGCTTTAAGTTCATCAGACTTGACCTGGGGCCAACAACCTGGATTTAAAAAACTGGATTGACAGGTTTCTGGAATTGAAAATGGGTTTTTGATTCACACCACAGCTGCATTTGAATTGGAATGTTGTTGACACTATCATAAAACAAAGGTTAGTATATAACAATACAGTCAACGACTGGATTCCAGAGGGTCTGAGATTTACAACAAGGTATAGCATGACTGTATTTAGCCTCATATGATTCACTAAAATGATAATTTAATAACATTCTAATGTCAGCCACATAAAATGGGACAGAGGGCCACAATTGGTCCGCGGGCCTGAGCTTGGACATGCCTGGCTTAAGGTATCACTATAATGATAAAAGGATTGGTGATTGCATCAAAATGTCTTCTTTTATATCCGCCCGGTTACTTTGTACTAAAAGAAGAGAAGGCAAACATGAGAGACTTTGTGTGTGCTTCGTCCACAGTGAGTAGACGCCACAGCAGCCGCCTGGAGCACCTGTACGTGGAGACTTTCGACAACGTGAGCGAGTACATGAGAAAGAAGCAGCAGCGCCTGGACCAGCAGAACTCCAAGAGGAACTACAAGCAGGAGAAGAGGAGGAGCCAGGACCAGAGCCAGAGTCAGAGCAAGAAGTCCAAAACGGACGCCACTGCCCCAGCCAACGGCTCCTGACCACACTTCTGTTATCCCGGGGTTCCACATCCTCAGTCTCCACTCAGCTTTCTCCCAGATCCACCTCTCCATTGGCCACCAAAGGTTTTATGTACTGGGGATGAAATCTGGTCCGCCTGCGTCCGTCAGATCGACCACCACAGACAGGAAAGACAACGTGAAGCATGGCCTCATCCTCATCTACAGTACTTGCTGGACAGGTGTGCAGATTTGCTTAAGAGTTGTTTTTTGAAAGAAAGTACATGCTGTCCACATATCAGCTGCAGGTTTTCATGTCGTCATGGAACACGTCACCATCAGCAAAACAATGAAGCTAGACTTCATGATCCAACATGATTAAATGTTATACTGTTGACTGGTGATGATCAAAACTAAAGATAAATAACAATGTCAGTGGTGATAAACATGAAATTATGGATGGGTAAATTAATGCCAACACGGAAACTATCTTGACAAAAAACGTGCGTCCTATAAACTGTTCTGACATCACCCTGAATCACATAAAAACGTCCTTGTGTCTCTGCTGTTCACTTATAAGGCTGTGTCCAAATTATATCCTGCACCTGGGAGATCCTCGACCTCAATAAAAATACAGACATTGGCTCATTGCTATAAGTAGAGGCTTATAGTCCGACAATTACAGTAAATGTAGGCTGTGAAGACTTAATGATCACAGACTGATAATTGTTATTATTGTTATTATTGTGATTCAATGCATTGAGACCACACGACTTGATGCTTTGAACTCTGCCTCTGTCTCAGATGTTCAGAGCTTTCCCCTCGTAGCAGTAAGAGCAAGAGAATAAAACTATCTGATAGTGGCTGTCTGCTCTCTCACAGATCATAGTTTTGGGCTGAAATGAGGACTTTTATTTGACAATCTGCTATTCGCTGAGCAGAGACCGCAGAGATAAAAGTGAGAATGGGGCAGAGGATGTGAAACCCCAGGTTACAGTGTGTATTATGGACAAGAGTGTATTAATATTTAGATCATGTGTAAAGTCAGTTAACGGCAGATTCCTTTGACTCATTTTTGCAGAGTGCTTTATTTGTAATCAGATGTGAACTATTTGTTTTTGCTGCCGGCAATGTGCTCCAATTTTCTCATTTTTTCAAAAGACTATTTCAACACATTTGTGAAAATCACACACACCGCTATTTACGGCTGATTTCTTTTCAAGTATTCAGTTTTGAAATAAATAATCCAAAAACTAAAAACGAGTTTGACGTTTCTATTTGTAACAATTGAATCTAAGACACATAGACTTGATATAGATGGACAGTGCTAACTTGCTAGCTCAATGAAGCTCTACAGGGATGTACTATTGCACATTATTAAGCTTTTTTTCACTCTGGCTTCTATTGACTTTGAAAAGTGAAATTCTAGCTCAGTAATAGTCACACTCACCAATTTTGGCTTAAACATCTGGTTTAGTGCCCTCTATGATCCTGGTTTTTACTAATGTTAATGTCTGGTCAACGCTTATGGCTCATATTTGGATTTACAATGCCTTCATTCACAGGGGAAACTAGCTTGCCTTAGCAACACGTCTGATCCTGCAAAGCTAAACAAATGCCATTATGTGTCTGCTTAAGCTCAAATCGACTTCTACGTCCACTCCTAATATACGGTCTGTGGTCAGAAACTACATGACTCGGGAAACTGAACAAAATGTAGGTGATTCACACTAACAACTTCAAACGCTGCTTTTTTGACAAAACTTTATTGTAGCAAAGATCAAGTCTCTAAAAATCTGTACAAAGTGTAAAAAAAACTCTGGAGGGGTCCCTGAGGCTGTCCCAGGAGCACAGCGCGGTCTCTGGAGTTTGGTCTCTGCTGGACTATAACAAGGCACGTCCTCCGTCTACTCACTGTGCTGCGGAGACAGATTTAGAGATTTATTACAAATGTTCGTTTCAAGTCGTAGTGTTGTACAGCTGTAGCGTGTGTATGTGTGTGTCTACCTCATCACGCTCACTTCTTCTTGCCTCCCATGGTGAGGTTCTCGCTCTTCTTCTTCTGCACCTGAGGATCAGAACAAAGCCTTTTCATCAATACAATCTCTTATTAATGTGAGGCAGCTAAAGCAGGAATTCAGAATGGGAGACAGGGTCCTCAGTGCTCACTCCCTCACCCCCAGACTCCACCCTCTGCCACACACACGCTCCTGAGCTCATCACCATCACTTAACTGCTGCATTTAAACAGCAGTTTGTGCAGCAACCCACCTCCTCCCCATCACCGCCTCTTCAGGGGTGAATCGTGTTTTCGATAGCTTACTTTGCCACCAGGTTTAGGCCCCGTGGGGTTCGCAAGCTCATCATCTCTACTAAATTCACCTCATTCATGGCGTCGTCGATCTGCTTGAGCTCTTCGTAGCGGTCTCTGGACTCCCGCAGCGGCTGCACCATGGCCTCTTCTATCTGTGGGAACAGCTGCAACACACACAAACACACACACACATTTTAAAGTTAGAGCAGAATCTAAAAAATAACTAAATTGGTCACAGCAAATGTAATTTCTTGGAGAGGAGGTGTAGCTCTCCTGGGAGGTGTGCGTACCTTCATAACGGTCTCGAACATGGGGATGAGCACGAATTTGATGAAGCCGATCTGAGCCGTGGGTTTGGTCACTTTCTCCCGGTCCATGAAGGGGGCTATGGGCAGACCCTCTGTCTTCTCCCGGTCACTCTGCAGCCACAACATGTCACTTTAGAGTTCTGCTCGGGTCTCTTTCTGCTCTGGTCTCTCTCTGCTCAGGTCTCTCTCTGCTCGCGTCTCTCTCTCTGCTCCGGCCTCTCTCTTCTCGGGCCTCTCTCTGCTCTGGTCTCTCTCTGCTCCGGTCTTTCTCTGCTCTGGTCTCTCTCTGCTCTGGTCTCTCTCTGCTCTGGTCTCTCTCTGCTCTGGTCTCTCTCTGCTCTGGTCTCTCTCTGCTCTGGTCTCTCTCTGCTCTGGCCTCTCTCTGCTCTGGCCTCTCTCTGCTCCGGTCCTGGTCCCGTACCTGCATGAAGTACTCCTCCAGGAGGCAGTCCACCCAGGGCTCGGCCACCTCCATGGGTCGCACCTCGTTGGAGATGTCACAGCATTTGATCAACACCATCTTCAGCTGCAGAAAACGAATAGGGTCATCAGTGACGGAGCCAAACATTCCAGAGACGTTGCCGAGCTATAGCACTCAAGTTCTGGCAGTTCTGGCAGTGGTCCCAAACCTGTTTCACTCCCCTTGTGTTTAACTTATTAGCCTCAGTTCTCGTTTATGAGAACAGTCCGAGTCCTGGATCTACAGCCTGTTCCTCTGTGGATTTTCGTTTTTGTCCCGACTGAGTTGATTTGAGTCGTTCTTTGCTGATACAGGAGAGTCTAAGGGAAATGATGGTCAGGGACATTTAAGGACATTAAAGGACATTAATGGACATATATCAACATTTCTGGACAGTGGGAATCCCGCCCTCTATGGGCCAATGTGTTTGTTAGTATTGCAATTCCGGTGTTGGATTCTGTGATCTTTTGTTGGCAAATTAACAACTTTTAAAATCCTTTGAGACTATCTTTGTTGCAATTTAGGGCAGCAAGAAAAAGTAAATTGAATTGAACTCATTTTGGTCTGAACTGTTATTGGTTACGCCGAGGTCTCCATCAGTTTCTTTACAGTTTGTGTTTAGCTCGTCTCCTGCATCTGGTGGATTGGTTTATATTAAGCCTAATCAATTACTTTACGTTTTGTGTCTTTCTGACCAAATTGAGTGTATGCTTGGACTGAACCAAAACAAACAAAAGTAACGATTAAACTATTATCATTAATTGCATGATTCTTTTAATGTTTATTATTTAAAAAAAAAAACATGTGGTTGTATTCTGGAGAGTTTTAAAGTAGTTTTAAAATGGTGCCGTGCTCTGGTGATACAGCGGTCGCTCGATTATTGCAGAGGTTACGGTCTAAAAAAAAAACCACGATAAGTGAAATCCTTGAAGTAGCAGCTGTATGTAAAACCCCTCACATACACTTTATCCACTTTTACCTCCTGAACTCATGACTGCTGAATCGTGGAGATATCAAACCTATTAGTTGTAGGTCTGAGTGCTGCTGCTGCAGCTGTAAAAAGCCGAGCATACGCTGTAAAATACAGCTGCAGAGGGGCAGGAGCAGGACTGAGGACTACAAGAAGACTACGGTAGTCCTCTGAACTAATCACCGCGATGCACACAAGCCACAAACATTTTCTTGTGGGAGTACCCAGGGGTACTCCCAGGGGTACTTGAGTTCTGCGTACCCCTGGTTTGGAAACACGACTCTAAGGACAAAACTCATGTGGACCGCTGGTATCCGTCTCCCTAAGCTCCATAGACCATTGATCCGGATAAAATTATTACATTATTAAAAGCGTTTTGACTAGGGTCCCTGCTCCCTCTCCCACTACACACACTTCACCACCGTCTGTGAATCTGGCCTCCATCCTCCCTCACTGACGCAGAGCTGAGAGTGCTACAGTGTGTAAATGAGGAGTCTCTGGAGGAAGAATCTTGACTACATTTGTGTTAAATGCTAATGATTACAGGTCTGCTTTGTTAAGGCTGCACCATATAATTACTGTGAAGGGGGATCAGCCATCTGCTCGTGTCTATGGAGATTTGCTGGTCATTAAAACCATGTGTAAGCCCACAGACCACAGGCAGATCCCTCACCAGGAAATACATGTTTAGTGGAACGTAGAATAACTGAGATGATTTGTTTTGAAAGGACCACGTGCATAATGTAGTGACTGCTGCAGTGCTGTTTTGTCTCTCTGTGCTGGTTTTTCTCTCCCTCTCTGGGTTCTCCCTCTCTGGGTTCTCCCTCTCTGGGTTCTCCCTCTCTGGGTTCTCCCTCTCTGGGTTCTCCCTCTCTGGGTTCTCCCTCTCTGGGTTCTCCCTCTCTGGGTTCTCCCTCTCTGGGTTCTCCCTCTCTGGGTTCTCCCTCTCTGGGTTCTCCCTCTCTGGGTTCTCCCTCTCTGGGTTCTCCCTCTCTGGGTTCTCCCTCTCTGGGTTCTTCCTCTCTGGGTTCTTCCTCTCTGGGTTCTCTAGCTCACTCTCTCTCTCTGGTCAGTCTCTCTCTCTCTCTCTCTCTGGTCAGTCTCTCTCTCTCTCTCTGGTCTCTCTCTCTCTGGTCTCTCCCTCTCTGGTCTCTCCCTCTCTGGTCTCTCCCTCTCTGGTCTCTCCCTCTCTGGTCTCTCCCTCTCTGGTCTCTCCCTCTCTGGTCTCTCACACTCACACAGGTGACGTGTTCTTCGTCGGAGTAGTCGAAGTTGTCCACCTTCTGTTTGAACGAGTCCAGGATCTCTCCATGACGAGCCATGTCTGTGGCCAGGATCAGAGTGATGGTTCCCTGAAACAGGACAGTCCCACAGTGATATCACTCTGCTACAAACTGATCCTCTGTATTTTTACACATCTGAACATCGGATTTTGGTTGAGTTTTGGCAAAAAGTATCTCAATTCGAGCACATTCTGATGGCCTTAGAACAAGCTTTGCCAATGGGACAAGCAAAATTATCTTGTTCTAAAAAGGTTCTTGGAATGAGACTAAATGACTTTGTCCCATTGGGAAATCTTGTTGAAAGAAAGAAAGAAAGAAAAATAGAAAGAAAGAAACCTATAAAGAACAATAGCAACATAGAATCCAAGGAAAAAAAGAAACATTGAAAGAATGAAACAGAGAGAAAGAGATAGAGACAGAGATAGAAATATAGAGATAGAGAGACAGACAGAGACAGAGAGATAGAGATAAAGAGAGATAGAGACAGAGACACAGACAGAGAGACGGAGATAGAGAGAGATAGAGATAGAGACAGAGAGAGACAGATAGAGACAGAGACACAGACAGAGAGAGGCGGAGATAGAGAAAGAGATAGAGACAGAGAGAGACAGAGATAGAGATAGATGGATACTTTATTGACCCCCGTATGAGAAATTCAGGTGTCCAGTAGCAGCAAAAACACATCCATCAAATAACTAGATTGTTCTAAAAATACCAAACAATATTAATAAAATGCAACCACACTTTAGGTCACAGTCAGAATGAAGTCAAATTAAGATAATACCAACTTGATTCAAGCAATTATAACAACATATATTATAATGTTTTGCGGTGAGTACACTTTTTTTACGACAGCAGTGAGCTTTTTTTTTGTTACTTGAAGCAAAAACTAAACTCAACAGAACCATGATGCTGCGGACCCTTTTTTTTCACACACGGCTGAGCGTGTGTGAAAATCAAACACACAAAGTAAACATTGTATTGTGTGGTTATATTTGCAGATTGTGCGATTGTAAATACAACTGCTCTCATACAGACATTACAAACAGTTGCACAGTTTGAGGAATAAGGGAACGTTTTGAGACGTCTTTCAAAAGCGTCCTTGGGTCCGGGGTACACAGAGACGAGACCAGAACTCCTCAGACCTGTCAGAATCCGCCGAAGACAGAGCGCTTTGTGAACGTACTTTTTTCTAATGCTTTGGAAATACGCCGATGCAGCTGCTCATGACTGTCTTCATGTTGTGGTTTGAGGGAGTTCAAGTCTTCATGCAAAATTAAATATATCAATCCTTGACCAATCAGATGCCTTCATTTGCAGGGGAAACTCCAGCTTTCCTTAGCAACCATCTTAGCAACGCATCTTCCCCTGTTACTTCGCGAAGCTAACGCCATCGGAGCAAAGGCCCATAAGGAAAGTGGCTCCAGCTAGCTTATGTTCAAATCAACCTCTTCTGTAGTCGGAAAACAGTCGGCCACTCCTAACATCTACGCTCTATGGTTAGGACGACGCAAAAAAAGGACCATGTGGCTGCTCTGGTCTCGCACTGGTCTCGCTCTGGTCTCGCTCTGGTCTCGCTCTGGTCTCGCTCTGGTCTCGCTCTGGTCTCGCTCTGGTCTCGCTCTGGTCTGAGTCAAGCTAAAACCCTGACACTCCAGCCTCAGGGACCATGTGTGTGTTGCTGGTACCTGGCGGATCTGCTTGAAGGCCTCGGGGTCGAAGCTGGAGAAGATGTTGCAGTCGGGCTGAGAGAAGATCTGGAACGCCACTGCACAGTGATGGTTCTCAAGAGGAGAGATGTCATTGTAGCGCACTGCTAGCTCTGTGCGCGCGTTTATCTGGTACCTGCACATACACACACATACACACTGTTTGTATCCTGTTGTTGTTTTGTATCTTTGTGAATATGTACACACGTTTTGAAATAAACAATTTACTTTTAAAAACTCCAAAGACTCTATAAAGATGGACAATGCTAACCTGCTAGCTCAATGAAGACCAATAGGGAAGTGCTCATGGACAAAGTTTTAATCTAAAACTCCTATTGACCCAACTGTAAACCTCTATATCCTCTGTGTAAAATGTTACGAATTTCACATTCCAAAACAAATACATGTGAAATCAAAATATTCAGAAAGTTTATGTTTTAAGAGCCGTAATAAAAACAAATTTGATCCTTGAGGATGAGACGTACGTGTTGTTGTATCCAGGATGGTCGAGGTCGTGGCACACGGCGGCGGTCATCAGGATCAGAATGTCCACCTGTGTGAAGTTCTCCTGAAACAAAGCTCGGATTCAGACTCACACTTTGATCACACTTTAAAGCTGAACTCACTTTGTTCTGGTTTTGTTTGATCAACTTTGGTCTGGTTAAATCCTGTTAGGTCCGGTTTGGTCCAGTTTGATCAAGTTAAGATGTGGTTGGATCTAGTCTGGTCTGCTTTTGTCTGATCTGGCCCAGTCTGGTCTGCTTCAGCCTGGTCTGGTCTGGTTCAGTTAAGTCCGGTCTGCTTATGTCTGGTTACAGTCTGGTTAAGGATTTTATCTTATTTTATCTCTACGACTGAAGGATTTTATATTTACTCTTTTTAATGCATTGTGGCTATTTGTTATTTTATTCCTGTGTGTGATTTTAATGTTTTAATGTTTTTAATTACTTTTTAATTTTATTGTTTTTAATATTGCTTGTGTTTTTTTAATGTTTTTATGTAGATTTTAATATTTATGATTTGCTTGATATGATGTGGGTTGTGAGGCGCTTTGTGTAGGAAAGGCGCTATACAATTAAAGTTGATTGATTGATTGATTATGTCTGATCTGGTCTGCTTCAGTCTGATCTGGACCAGTCTAATCTGCTTCTGTAGAGTCCGTTCCGGTCTGGTCTGCTTCTGTTTGTTCCAGTCTGATCTAGTCTGGTCTGCTTCAGTCTGATATGGACCAGTCTAATCTGCTTCTGTAGAGTCCGTTCCGGTCTGATCTGGTCCAGTCTGGTCTGCTTTAGTCTGGTCTGGCCTGGTTCAGTCAAGTCCGGTCTGCTCATGTCTGATCTGGTCTGCTTCTGTTCGTTCCGGTCTGATCTAGTCTGATCTGCTTCAGTCTGATCTGGTCCAGTCTGGTCTGCTTCTGTTGAGTCCATTTCCGGTCTGGTCTGGTTCAGTCTGGTCTGATCTGGTCTGGCTCACCTGCAGGTTGCACAGGCAGATCATGCTGTACATCATCTGGGTGACACAGAAGCAGTGCCTGAAGTTGTGGAAGGGGTTGTTCCGGTAGTTGTCATGGATACACAGCTGGAAACACAGGCAAGGCAAGTTTATTTGTATCGCACAGTTAATAACTCAAGGTGCTCCTCACACTGCAAACTAGTGCAACATCCACATACTGTAAATAAATGGACAATGCTAACCCGATAACTCAATGAAGCCCAACAGGGAAGCGCTCGTGGCCAAAATTTTTCTTCAAAGCGCTCTGGCTCCTATCCCCTTACATGTAAAAGTAAACTCCTCTAGCTCAGTGACCGTTTGTGTCACACTCACCACTTTGAGCTTAAAATTCTGTCATTTTTAGCAATATTATTTTATGTGTAATATTTAGCACTCTCTATGATCATGGTGTTTATAATGTGATTTTGTCTTTGCAACTCAAGATATTGGCCACATAAGAAGTGATTAATCCGTTGCCTTCTTTCATGGGGAAACTCCAGCTTGCCTTAGCAACCGTCTTAGCAACATGTATTTCCCCTGTTAAGGCGCAATGCTAACACTGCGGAAGAAATGGCCTTATATGTAAGCTGGATCTACTGTCCACTCCTAATCTATGATCTATCTAGCAATAGAAGTGCAGTGCAGAAGGAGGAAGTGTCTCACCAGCCAGCGCTTCAGGGTGATGGGGTTCATGTTGAAGTCTTTGACCAGGCCCAGATCGTGGTACATGTGCTCCAGACAGCTCAGCATCTGCACCCGCAACAATCAGGCCTTTTACTCCAGCAAAATACTGTACTTCAACTGCAATTGAGTCCATTTATTGGTGTATAGCCCTAAATCACGACAGCAATTTTCTCAGAGGACTTTCAATTCCTCAACAACCGATCTGAGAATCCAACAGGAACACAGGAAATGCCATAGTAACAAACACATTTGAGCCATTAGTCCATCGAGATGACTGCTGTTGTGATTTAGGGCGATGCACAAAAAAACAAATTGAATTGAATGGATTTGGTAGCACCGCACAGAGTTGATATAAATGTTGCAGTTGTGCTTGAAAGTGATAACCCCTCTCACTCATCGTTAGTGGTTGTGTGAAGCCAAACATGTAGTTCATGCAAGGCGGTTCAGGAATTTATAAAAATGTGAGTCTTTTTGCCAAGAAGAATGGACAGCTTTACCATCAGAGAGAAAGAACCTCATCTAGCACAGAAGACTCACAGCTGTCATGGAAGTTAAAGAGGAAATTGAGAACTGGAGGATGGAGACTTATGCTGTCGTCATCGTAATAATAATAATTCATAATGGCTATCTGTTTGAAAATAAAACTCGTCACACAACCACTAACAATGGGAGATTTTTGACCCTAATTTCTGTCCGGAGAAAAACTGGATGTAGCAATAGGTTTAATATGTTCATAGGTTTCTGTCATTAGAGTGGTCTCTCACGAGGTCTACCCTGTGTTTGCAGATTTCAATTCAGCAGTCGTGAGTTCAGGTGGTTAAAAAGTGCATAAGGTGTGTAGTGAGGGATTTTACAGCCTTAAAACATTTGCTTGCAGGATTTCACTTATTGTGGCTTAATTTTGGAATGTGGGGTTACATTCAACAGATAAACGCGGGACCACTGTACATGAAGCAGACATACACAAGTGTTTCGATCAATGCATTTAAATTGGCTGATTCTACAAAACGGTTAACACAATAAACAAAATGTCCCTGTAGGCCCTCAGTGTGGTGGACACGGTGGCCCCTCTCACCTCGTTGGGTTCCCACTGCCAGGCATCAAATGTGGGCAGCCTCAGGGCCTCCACCGTCTCCTTGGAAAGGTGGTACTGCAACAGGAGAACAGCATTAGAGCAGCTCACTCATGGTCCCCTGTCCCACGTCCCTGTCCCACGTCCCTCTCCTGGGTGGAGTCATATCAGCACCAGCCACTAAAGCCCCGTTTCCACCAGCCCTACTTGGTCCGACTGTAGTTTCAGGCACTAAAAGAATACCTGGTACCAATTGAACAGGGCCTGTGGAAATGTTCCCAATCAGGGTAGAGTAGAGTAGGCTCAAGTAGGGCTGGAAGAAAATACCCAGTCCCTTAGCCTGACTCTCGCCAGACCCTTGTAGATCGCTGTGCTTCTCACATGGGTCTGAGCCATAGCGGTTGGATTTCAGAAGGCGGGGCTTTGTAAATCCCTGTATGTGATTAGATAAACCATGTGTCTGATATCTTGAATGACGTCTTCCTTCAACCACTCACATCAAAGCACACGACTCCCATGGGTTGCCAAATGCCGGCAAGATTTTCCAGCCCAAAACCCGCGAAAATGCCCCCCCCCCCAAAAAAAACCACCCAGAATGATTTTTTGCCAAAAAACTTTATGTAATCAACTTAGGCTATCATGATTCTGTTCATTGTCTTTCTGTTTATGTATTACCTACAAGTATCTTGGAAAAAATGCGGGAAACCACCCAACCTGGCAACCCTGTTGAGCAGTGTTGTAAACAGGAACACTTAAACCAGTGCTTAAACCAAACTTTACACGAACATTTGACTCTTAAAACCCACATATACAGTAACAACATGGAACCACCAACATCTCGCCTCACACATCCGTGTCTTCCATCTTGGATTGCTTTCGCTGCCGTGTGAGACACGCTTGAGAAGGTGGTGCAAACCTGACGTAACACCGGCGATCCTGATTGGTCGATTATTTTCTGATCTGCTGAAGGAGTTTGCTATGCACTCGATACCAGACCCTTGTGCGTAGATGGAGCATGGCGGAACTACAAGGGTCTGATGAGAGCCAGGCTACCAGTCCCTACCAAGTCAAAGATTAAGGACATCCCAAATAGAGGTCCCGTCCTGTCGGCCCATGTGGAGAATGAACTGAATAAGCAAACATGAAATATTGTTAATAGTTGTTTTTGCTAACCATAGGCCATATATATAGAAGTGCAACTGTAATTTCATTGTCCGTCGAAATACACCCTATGGGAAGTGCTCATGGACAAAGTTATATTGACTTACATTGAATACTAAACTCCTCTAGCTCAGTAACCATTTTGTCACACTCACCAATCTGTGGTTCTGGAGTTTATATTGTGATTATGTCTTTGTAAACCCAGATAAGAGCCCAAATACCTGACAGACCTTCTTCTGATTGGCTGGTAACTCAGTCGTACCATTCTTTGCATACATTTGGCACAACATATCGTCTCAAATTGCCCTTCATGCAGAAGAAGCCGATTAGAGCTAGCTACAAAAAGGCCAACACTAAGGTGACTGTCCACTCCTAACATGCAGTCCATAGATGTGTTATAGTGTATCCTCATATTAGCTTGGATGGATCTAAAAACAACTCCAGGTCTGTTTTGGATGAGGAAGGGTTTTTTAAATGCAATCAAAAGAGAAAGTTTGTGGGAATGTGAGTGTCTGGTCCTGTTCCTGCGGCACACTGACCTTTGGGTACGATGGCACGTCTCTGCGGGGGGTCAGCTTCTTACTGTCCTCCAGGAAGGTGCTGCAGGAGACACACACACGCATCAGGAGACACATACTTGTATCTGGATACACACACACACACATCTGGCATTACATATGCATCTGGAGACGCACACACAAGCATCAGGAGACACACACACACACACACCTGGTGACACACACACACGCATTAGGAGACACACACACGCACGCATCAGGAGACACACACTGAGATCTTACCCTGTGTTCCGCAAAGCCATCTCCTCACGCAGCTTTTTGATGTCATTCCTGCACTTTTCAATCTCCACCACCTTCATGCCCTCCACTGGACACACACACACACACACAGACAGACAGAGACACACACACACCCAAAGAAGCCAACATTAGTTTTATAAAGTGTTTTTGCTGCTTCACTGGGCATTATCCTTTCACTTCAAACAAACTGGTGAAAAAAAACTGTAGCCAAAGATATACCAAAACTACTACTTTTCATCTCACCAACATAACACACACGCACGCACGCACACACACACACGAATTATTCTCTGCAATGTGGGTGAAGTGTCTTGCCTCAGGACACAATGACAGTTTGGCACGTCACATCAGCAGCTTCCCCACCTGCAGTCTCCCATCACAGTGCTAACCAGACCTGCTTATATCGGACTAGGCTTTCATATGTAGGTTACACCAAAATACAAACAAGGAGTGAAAAAAATACATAAGGAAATCACAGATCCGAGTCACAAAGCGCTTCACAAGTATGACTCTTTGGGCTGAGCAATAGGGCTGTCCTCTCTTTTTCACTTTTCTGTCTAAAAAACTGGTGAAAGAGGCCAAAAATGCATACAGTATAAACTATTTTAGAGCCAGAAATGTTGGCTCTTTTGTTTTGGACAGGACTCATAATCAGAAATGTTGCCTTTATGTTAAGGTTAAGGTATAATTTATTTATCTGGGCAGGGAAATGTTTTCCTCTGCATTTGACCCATCCTGCAACACCACTAATACAACCTGGAAACACGCAGGAGAAGGCCCTGCTCTAGTGCAAGTACGAGTCAGGTTTGTGGAGACGCAAGCTCACTCAGGCCTCATGTTCACATCTGTTTTAACGGCTATAAAAAGTTTCTTCAGACATGGAAGTTTGTAAGAGAAATGGGACTGCTAAAATCAATAATAGCAACATACATTTGTCATTTGTTTAAACAGACAACAATGTAAACAAATACTGAAAAAATAGTGTCCTGGATTTTTCCTGCTGTTTTTTACCGACTCCCTATGGACCAATGACTCCTATCTGTTTGTTATTGAATCTGGTCTGGTCTGGTCTGATCTGGTTAGGTCAGCTTCAGTCTGGTCTGATCTGGTTTGTTCAGCTTCAATCTGGTCTGGTCTAGGCTGGTTTGGTCAGCTTCAGTCTGGTCTGGTCTGGTCTGATCTGTTGTTGGCGAATCAACAACTTTGTAAAGTCCTCTGAGACGACTGCTGTTGGGATTTAGGGCTATACACAAACAAATCAAAATGAATTGAGAGTGAAAGGATCAAATATCATTTTGGTCTTTAAATTCCCACATTTCATTGGTCGGAGTCAGGCAAACAACAGCAGACCAGACCAGACAGGACAATCCAGGCTGGACCAGACCAGACCAAGACAATCTAGAGCAGACCAAACCAGACCAGACCAGGATAGAGCAGCGCAGACCAGATCAAACCAGGGAATACCAGTTCAGACCAAGACAGAGCAGCGCAGACCAGAGCAAAACAGGGAAAACCAGTCCAGACCAGACAAGACCAAGACAGAGCAGCGCAGTCCAGACCAGACCAGGCTGAAGGACCACACATCTGAATACATGTTTGAAACAAAAGCAACAGGCTGAAGTGGGATCTTCTCGTGGTGTTGTTCACGTCCAGCATGTAAGAGCCTGGTACCTGGTCGCCATGGTGACGCTGTGCCCACACAAATGTGTATCCTTGCATCACTCCAGTCGCCATGGTGACCCCTCACTCGTGTCGCTACGGTTACAGGCTCAAAAGGCAGCTGAGTGGAGACCAGAGGGAGGCGACCTTTTCTCTGAAGCTGGATCAGAACCAGGACTAAAACTGTACAAGGATGAAAGCTGGACCAGGTCTGGACTAAGTCGAAACTGGACTAAGACTTAATTTGGACTAGGTCCAAACAGGACTAGAACAAGAGGTCACTTCTTCATCTTGTGTCCTTAATGTCATTTTGGTTTCACAAATGATGGATGCTCCCTAAAGCCTCACTGTTTACACTGGTAAAATAAAGTCTATACAGTACATGTCTAGATGGGTCACTGAAAAAAATCTGTTTTATTATTAGAACTTTTGTAGACACTCAAAGACGCTTCACAGGCCATTATTCATTCACTCCATACACAGTGGTGATAAACTACTACTGTAGCCACAGCTGCCCTGGGGCACACTGGCAGAAGCAAGTTAACCAGTTTGTGCCATTGACCCCTCCCACCACCATCTACCATTCACACACACCTGACTCATTCAACCACACAAGTGGGGGAAGTGTCTTGCCTAAGGACAGCTGCACCTGGTGTTCCCAGAGGTCTCCCATCACAGTACTAACCAAGAGCTTGGTTTGCTTCAAAGGTACAGTATGTCTTTAACACGCAGGTTAAAAATGTTCTCCCTCTTTACATTTGAAATAGTAACTGACATTCACTTTAAGTACAAGTTAAAGTACAGTTAGTTCAACCTAAAGTTCAAACTGTGCGGTTTATAGACAAACATGTATAAAACTGTAAAATGATTAGTCTCATTTTATTGGTTTTTGTTGAGGAAGAGGAAGTGGGAGCACACACATTCCCACGTGTTTCTCAAACAGCTGACTGCAGACTGAAACAAGTGGAATGTGAAAGAAGGGTTTATTGTTGCCAAGTTATGACTGTGTCACTGTTTAAGGGCTGTTTCCATTATTTGTTTGGATCAGTGGCTCCCAACCTTTTATCCCTGTCTTTTAGCCCTCGCCCCTCAGTGTGTTTAAATCATAAAACTGCACTGTTGTGTTTGCACGTTCTGCTGTGTTCAACTTTTTGACTTGAATAACAATCTATTTTCAAAAAACTAAATATAAATGAATTGTATGTAGACGTGTTGTATTTCTATTAAATGTGTCAAAGCCTTAGACAAGGGACAAAAACCTTTTCTTTACCGAATCCGAGTCCCCTGTATCTATTTACCGAAGGTCGAAGCTCATTCCCTGGTTCACATTTATTCCGAGGAAACTCCCAGTTCCCTTTGGTGAACATTCCAAATATAGCAGTCATTTAGACAGCAGTAAAACCAAACTGTTTTATAACCCAGTAAAACGGCTATCAAAAGGAAAGAAATAAACATTGGAAATAAGCCACACTTTACGCTCGAAAACGGTCGTCCAGCGATTGTAAAGAAAGTTTAAAGACCGAGCTGTGAATTATACTGTTCCAGCAGCGTTCATTTTTTAAGCTAGACGTCAAAACCTTTCCCTATAGGCACTGACTGTATACAGATGGACAATGCTAACCCGCTAACTCACTGAAGCTAATAGGGAAGTGCCCATGGACGAAATATTGCTCCAGCTCCTATTGACTTACATTATTAAATAAGCTCCTCTAGCTCAGTCACTGTGTATGTGTCATGCACCATTTTAGACTTTAAAATCTGTAACAAATCTCTCTGTGATCCTGGTGTTTATATTGAGATATTGTCTGTGAATCCATGTAAGGATTGAACAGACAAATGACTTAATTTGTGGAGGAAACACATCAACTTTTATCAACAGAATAGTGAAAAAAAGAAGACCACACTGAGCAATGTTCAACTGCTGTTTATATCAGAGACCAGAGAGAGACCAGAGAGAGACCAGAGAGAGCAGAGAGAGACCAGAGAGAGAGACCAGAGAGAGAGCAGAGAGAGAGACCAGAGAGACCAGAAAGAGAGACCAGAGAGAGAGACCAAAGAGAGAGACCATAGAGAGAGCAGAGAGAGACCAGAGAGAGAGCAGAGAGAGAGACCAGAGAGACCAGAAAGAGAGACCAGAGAGAGAGACCAAAGAGAGAGACCAAAGAGAGAGGCCATAGAGAGAGCAGAGAGAGAGACCAGAGAGAGAGCAGAGAGAGAGCAGAGAGAGAGACCAGAGAGACCAGAGAGAGAGACCAGAGAGACCAGAGAGAGAGACCAGAGAGAGACCAGAGAGAGACCAGAGAGACCAGAGAGAGAGACCAGACAGAGACCAGAGATAGAGACCAGAGAGAGAGACCATAGAGAGAGCAGAGAGAGACCAGAGAGAGAGCAGAGAGAGAGCAGAGAGAGAGACCAGAGAGAGAGACCAGAGAGAGACCAGAGAGAGAGCAGAGAGAGAGACCAGAGAGAGATCAAAGAGAGAGACCAGAGATAGAGACCAGAGAGAGGCCAGAGAGAGACCAGAGAGAGACCAGAGATATAGACCAGAGAGAGGCCAGAGAGAGACCAGAGAGAGACCAGAGAGAGACTAGAGAGTGAGACCAGAGAGAGCAGAGAGAGAGATCAGAGAGAGAGACCAGAGAGCGAGCAGAGAGAGACCAGAGAGAGACCAGAGAGAGCAGAGAGAGACCAGAGAGAGACCAGAGAGCGAGCAGAGAGAGACCAGAGAGAGACCAGAGAGAGAGAGCAGAGAGACCAAAGAGAGAGACCAAAGAGAGAGACCAAAGAGAGAGACCATAGAGAGAGACCAGAGAGAGAGCAGAGAGAGAGACCAGAGAGACCAGAGAGAGAGACCAGAGAGAGAGACCAGAGAGAGAGACCAGAGAGAGACCAGAGAGAGAGACCAGAGAGAGACCAGAGAGAGAGACCAGAGAGAGACCAGAGAGAGACCAGAGATAGAGACCAGAGATAGAGACCAGAGAGAGAGACCATAGAGAGAGCAGAGAGAGAGCAGAGAGAGAGACCAGAGAGAGAGCAGAGAGAGAGACCAGAGAGAGAGCAGAGAGAGAGCAGAGAGAGCAGAGAGAGAGACCAGAGAGAGATCAAAGAGAGAGACCAGAGAGAGACCAGAGATAGAGACCAGAGAGAGACCAGAGAGAGACCAGAGAGAGACCAGAGAGAGACCAGAGATAGACCAGACAGAGAGAGACCAGAGAGAGAGACCAGAGAGAGAGAGACCAGAGAGAGAGACCAAAGAGAGCAGAGAGAGACCAGAGAGAGAGACCAGAGAGAGATCAAAGAGAGAGACCAGAGAGAGACCAGAGATAGAGACCAGAGAGAGGCCAGAGAGAGAGACCAAAGAGAGAGACCAAAGAGAGAGACCATAGAGAGACCATAGAGAGAGCAGAGAGAGAGACCAGAGAGAGAGACCAGAGAGAGATCAAAGAGAGGCCAGAGAGACACCCGAGAGAGACCAGAGAGAGAGACTAGAGAGTGAGACCAGAGAGAGCAGAGAGAGAGATCAGAGAGAAAGACCAGAGAGAGCAAAGAGAGACCAGAGAGAGACCAGAGAGAGCAGAGAGCGAGCAGAGAGAGAATCCCGAGAGAAAGACCAAAGAGAGAGACCAGAGAGAGACCAGAAAGAGACCAGAAAGAGACCAGAAAGAGACCAGATAGAGACCAGAGAGAGAGACCAGAGAGAGAGACCAGAAAGAAAGACCAGAAAGAGACCAGAGAGAGAGACCAAAGAGAGAGACCAGAGAGAGAGACCAGGCAGAGACCAGAGAGACAAGAGAGAGACCAGAGAGATCAGAGAGAGAGACCAGAGAGACCAGAGAGAGAGACCAGAGAGAGTGACCAGAGAGAGAGACCAGGCAGAGACCAGAGAGACCAGAGAGAGTGACCAGAGAGAGAGACCAGAGAGAGGGAACAGGCAGAGACCAGAGAGACCAGAGAGAGAGACCAGAGAGAGAGACCAGAGAGAGACACCAGAGAGAGACCAGAGAGAGACCAGAGAGTGAGACCAGGCAGAGACCAGAGAGACCAGAGAGAGACCAGAGAGATCAGAGAGAGAGACCACAGAGACCAGAGAGAGAGACCAGAGAGAGTGACCAGAGAGAGTGACCAGAGAGAGAGACCAGGCAGAGACCAGAGAGAGACCAGAGAGTGAGACCAGAGAGAAACCAAAACTCTGCTGCCCGCATCATCACCAGGACACCACCATTCACCACATCACCCCAACCACCCTAACTCAGCCAATCAGCTCTCAGCCAAAAGAGTCAAATAGTGACTGACAGGGCTCCCAAGTGTGCAAATGATAACATAATACAATTTACGACAGTGAGTTGTGGTTTGATTTGTTCCCCAAACTATTAAATGGCATCGCCGGCTGCACATAGTTATAACAGTTTGTGGTGATTTGTGCCTTGTATAAATTGTGCTATATAAATAAATCTAGGTATTTTAAAAGCAGCAGACAGAAAACGGCTAACCTTAACCCCGAGCGTGTTAAAGAGGTGCTTTATGGAGTTTTTTACACGTCTTATCTGCGGAGCGGCGGCAGCTTCACACACTGAGCAATGTTCAACTGCTGTTTACATCATGGAGGGCAGAGAGAGACCAGAGAGAGACCAGAGAGAGAGCAGAGAGAGACCTGAGAGAGAGCAGAGAGAGAGCAGAGAGAGAGCAGAGAGAGAGCAGAGAGAAAGCAGAGAGAAAGCAGAAAGAAAGCAGAGAGAGCAGAGAGAGACCTGAGAGAGAGAGAGCAGAGAGAGCAGAGATAGCAGAGAGAGACCAGAGATAGACCAGGGAGAGAAACCAGGGAGAGAAAACAAGGAGAGAAACCAGATAGAGCAGAGAGAGAGCAGGGAGAGACCAGGAAGAGACCAGGGAGAGCAAGAGAGCAAAGAGAGACTAGAAAGATACCAGAGAGAGACCAGGGAGAGACGAAAGAGTTGGTTGGGGTGTCATCTTCGACAGCACACTTTCTTTCCACACTCACATCAATAACATCACTCGCTCTGCCTACTTTCACCTCTTCATCTCCCGTCTCCGTCCCTCACTCACCCCTCACCACAGCCATCCTTGCTACGTCCCGTATTGATTATTGCAATTCCCTCCTCTTTGATCCCCCCAACAAATCCCTCCAGAAACTGCAGCTCCTTCAAAACTCTGCCACCCGCATCATCACCAGGACACCCACCCTTCACCACATCAGCCCAGTTCTCCAACAGTCACAATGGCTCTCCATAAAACAACTTCAGAATCTTTCTCACCACTCCTGTTATTTGTTTTTAATTGCACTCTGTTTTTAATCATGTTTGTAGAGTGTCCTTGGGTGAATTAAAAGACGCTTTTATATAAAATGTATAACAATAAAAACATAAATAATAATAATATTTTTTTATAATAATATCAATTATTATTATTATTGTTAATACCAGTAGGAATTCTTCACTATCTCCAAAAGAGATAGTACAGGAAGTACGTTTGACCGTTTGAGCTCCGTCATTGCCAACAGATGACAAAGTATTGAAAATAAATTATACTATTGCCCCCATAATTAAAACACATATTTTTCACATTCAGTCACTCACAGTTGCAATGATAATGATAATGGAGAACCTCTCACTTGTTTAAGTGAGACAATCAACAACTTGCACCATACTACTATATAACTGGGTAACTACCACATTCTGTGGCCTTGACGCCTTTGAGCCAAAGCACGTGCCGTCCTGAGCCTGTGTACATTTAACTACCAGTACTTTTCCTTATCTCCTCCGTCACAATCCACAGCTCAGCTCTGACCGTCAACCTCAGAGTTCATTCATAAAAACACAACATCTGACCACTATACTGCAGTTATGTGGATGGTGCTAAAACATACAATACTGAAGCTCACAAAGATGGTTCTCCAAACAGTCTCCCTGAGTCCATTTCAAATGGCATCAAAGGCCTGTGTTGGCCTCACGCAGAGCAGCGTCTGATTCAGTAGGTCTGAAACCGAGCCCTGTTAAAGGTCGTAGTCAGCCGTCAGCGGAGCACAAACTCAGTCCCTGACTCTGGTCCAAAGGCTCATGTTTTCTGAGGTGGTTGTATTTCTCAGCACAGGTGCAGAGCAGAAGACTTACACTCCACACGCTTCTCCAGCATGGCCAGGCGGTTGGTCACCTCTGTCTTCAGCTCGTTGATTTTGAACGCCCTGAAACAGAGACGAGAGCATCAAAGATCTGAGGGAAGGAACACAGACCCATCCATCACCCTGTGCAGATGTAGGACTGTGAAGTTCACTGGTCAAACCAGGACTAAACCAGGACTAAACCAGGACTAAACCAGGACTAAACCAGGAAGGAAACAAGACTGAACCAGGACTGAACCAGTGCTGATCTGGAACCAAGTTCAGCTGAAGCAGAACTAATCCATCCAAATCCAGACAGGGCTCGACAGGAGAGGACTGAGCCTGCAATAAAGCAGGACTAAACCAGGTCCAAAGCAATCTTAACCAGGACAAAACCAAGACTAAACCAAGACTAAAACAGGATTAAAACAGGATTAAAACAGGATTAAAACAGGATTAAAACAGGATTAAAACAGGATTAACACAGGATTAAAACAGGATTAACACAGGATTAAAACAGGATTAAAACAGGATTAAAACAGGATTAAAACAGGACTCTGGAACCCAGGTGAGCCTCAACATATGCACAATTGACAGATTGGGAATAGACACTACGCTCACATTTGTCTTCAGTGCAACTTCTGCAGAGACTGTTATCCTGTTTTACAACCAGGAGCAGATCTGGGTCAAGTCTTTGGTCAAGTCTCTTTACGAGCACACCGAAGGCCGGCCGGAATCTAACCAACAACCTTGCAGTAGTACATAAAGACGGTCTTACCTTGAAAACTGCTCGGCGACCTGAGTCAGCACATTCTGGAACAGCTCTTCTTTATCTACGAGACACCAGCAGTGAGAAGAACAGCTCTGGACCAGGACTTGTGTTACAATGAAAAGCCTTCATTCATTTGTCTGGACTGAAGCAGGTCTAAACCATCTCCAACACAGCGCGGACAAGGCTCCATGAAGTAACCTGGTCAGAATTTGGACCAGGAAAACAACACAGAGGTTATGTAAGCCAATCAGCAGGCTGACAGCTTTACTGCTCCAGTCCCATTGGCCGAACACCGGCCAAAGTGCAATAAAAGTGACGACATGAGCGAAGAGGCCAGGACAACAACAAGACAATGTTCCCTGCTCATCATCAAAGCCTCTGTGGTAAAGGTTAAGTGAATGATTTCTGATTCTAACCGAGGTGAACGTCGAGAGAACACTCAGTTAATAAGCTTTATACATTTATTGACAGAATTCTTAGACAATGACGCCATACTTTCTTTGAAATCTATCAACAGAAAAGCCATGTCTTCTACTTTCGAGGGAGTAGAGTGAGAGAGATCAGAGAGACCGCCCAGAAAGAGACCAGAGAAAGACCGGTGCAGGAATACAATACAATACCATTTATTCTTGTATAGCCCTAGGTCACAACAGAAGTCATCTCAGAGGACTTAACAAAACCATTGAAATCACCAACGCAGATCAGAGAATCAACAGTTAAAACACATGAAAAATATGTTCTGGTCTTTCTCAGGAACCAAAGAGAAAGACCAGAAAGGGACCAGAGTGAGAGAGACCAAAGAGAGAGACTACAGAGAGACTACAGAGAGACCACAGTGAGACCACAGAGAGACTAAAGAGAGACCAGAGAGAGAAACTACGAGAGATCGCCTCATCCATATAGGATGGAGACTTCTGATCAGGGTCAGAAGAGGAGTTTCCGTCATTATCATATGAAAATAGAAAATCAGTTATTTTAAAAATATATCTCAAAATATATATAGCCTCTTCAAAGTGGCTCAAAGACTAAGAATTAATCAAAATATGGCTAAGAGAATTAACATTTCTTTCTGGATGTGTAAAAGCAAAAGCACATCTATATGTCCTTACAAATACTTGTGTGTTATACTGACCAGCCAGCTGTCCTCCGCCCAGAGGGACCACCTTGTACGCCGACCTGCCCAGACACACACGTTAGCGTCGTAGACTGTGTATAGATGGACAATGCTAACCTGCTAGTGCTAGTTATACAAGTCATGCTCGGGTACATACAGTTTGTTCCCGAGCCACAAATACCCAAGTGAACTTTAGATATAAAATCAGGAAGTAAGATATGAATATGATACGTGTCGCCCAATGTTATAAACTCCTAATCAGTTGGAGGAAGTGTTTGAGGAGACGGAAGTCTGTAGTCTCTGCTCAGACTGCTGCCTCCACAAACCAGCAACAGATAAAGCGGAAGAACAAGGATGAATGGACAATAACAATGTAGGTGTCTTCACACGTCACATTTAACGCCATTGATTGCAGTTGGTAGAGCATTGCCTTTGGGCCTGAAGGTCGAGGGTTCGATCCCCCCACAAGACCTTCTCCAACTGACATCTCCATCGTTGTGTCCTTGGGCAAGACACTTTTTTTTTAATAAATAAAAAAGTCACTTAACCCCACGTTGCCCGAAGCCCCCGCTGAAAGAACAAGGCTGACGGAGCAGCACACATCTTCCCGTGGACTCGCCACCTGCTGGACAACCAGGCCCGGTGATGTGAGCATTGTGTGCCAGCTCTGAGCTCTGATGGCCTCCCCCCTTGACCCAGAAATGGGTCACTAATAAAGGGGTGGCTAGTTCTTTGATCCCTGCAGCCTATATAGCGATGCGGCTAATATGTCTACTTTTGTTGTAGAGTTAGGCTGTTGTGTTGTCAGAGCATAGTTAATGGACTTATCATTTCAACTCCATCAGATTTGAGTAACTGTAGGACACTTGTCTATTGTCAAGATAGATGATGATGGTCAATGAATACAAGCAGGAAGCTGCTTCACACCTCATCATTAAACAATGTTGTGACCAGTTCAACAGTCGTCTCTCTGAAACCTGCGGCTAATAGTCAAATGCGGCTTATATATGACTACATTGATTTTCTTTATAAATATTGGTAGTGTAGTCACTTCAGCTCCTCGGTACCACAGTTACTGACACAAATACTTTTGGGGAGAAGTAATGAGCAAATTATTTATGGCGGTCGGTCATCAGGGGTCAGGGTCAGGCAGTTGGTCAGAGGCACCTACCTCTCTGTGTTGTGGGGCATGGTGGGGTCGATGGACACCATGGCTCCAGACGTGTCCAGCAGAGACAGGTTAGTGTTCCTGTAAGACACACAACCTTTTGAATGCGCTGGAAAAACGGCAGCAAGTCCTCAGTAGCTCTGAAACAGTTGTTTTGTGTTTAGCAATTTTTATTTTTATTGCTTTTTTCTACCTGAGATGTTGCTGCAGTACAGTGTGCATGGTTTTGCACTGGTCCAAGACCGAGCAGAGGATTTATGGTCCAAAACAAGCAGATCAGGTGAAAATCCACTGGAGGAATGCTAACATTTTGAAAAATGCTAATGAAGCATTCTGGATTTTACTTTGGACTAGAGCAGAGAAAATGGTCAAACCAAGCGGCTACTCCACCTTTTGACCTGTCCTGCTCCACCCAGTGGCTACTCCACCTCTGCTGCTGTGACCTGAAGGGCTGTTGGTGATTATTACTATTGTTAGCTTTTTAGAATGATCAATTCAATTTTTATTTTTGATGCTACTGGGCACCTCAATTTCTCCTACGGGGATGAATAAGGTATCTATCTATCTATATCTATGTGACAGGTCAGAGGTCAGGAGGGAGAGACGGAGGTGTGAAAGGAGGATCGGTGTGAGGAGTGAGAGGAGGAGGTGTGAGAGGAGGAGTGAGAGGAGGTGTGAGAGAAGGAAATCTCAGTAACATTTATTGTTGATTGTACAAGAACTGGATTTATCAGAATTATAAATATTTTTAAACGTTGGAAAGAAATGTACAAGCACATTTGCGTATTTTGCTTTGTGGGTGTATGATAAACAGCATTATAGATAAGTTATACTTTATTGTCCCCAAGAGGAAATGTGTCCTCTACTCAAAGACTCTTCACTTCATTATTTTTTCACTCCATACAAAGTGGTGATAAACTACTACTGTAGCCACAGCTGCCCTGAGACACACTGACAGAAGTGAAGCGGTACGTGCCATCGGCCCCTCTGACCACCACCAGCCATTCACACACGCACCAGACTCAATGTGGGTGAAGTGCCTTGCCTAAAGACACTACGACAGTAAGCCAAGCAAGGCAAGGCAGTTTGGCTTCAGAGGTCTGACAGGATCTGGCTTTCACATTCAAGTATAGGCACAAGTTCAGTCCAGTCTGTTCTACTGGATCCTTACACTTTTTTAAACTATTGTGACCGCAATAACAAATGCCCATATAAGGAAACGTGCTCTAGCTAGCTTATGTTCAAATCAGCTTGTTCCGCATTTGCCTCACACGGTGGTGGTCAGCACTCGGTCAGTTCACTGCACAGTCCTGTCCTTCTTATGGTAAAATACGGCACTGGTCCAAACAACTCTCTGAGCGTCCCCAGTGCCCTGGATCTGCAGTATGAAAGTGTTCGGTGATGGTTTGCGGGGGGAGCATTAGAGGAATGAGGTGTGGTGATGGGGGCAGAGGGCGTGGTTACCTGGGCAGTCCCAGCGCAGTACAGAACAGCTCTTTGATGTCACACGGGCTGCAGTGTCGGCTGAACACCACCTGCAACAACAGCGCCACCATCAGCCTTTGCCCAGAACAGCATGTACTGGAAATCCCATAGAACACGCTTCACACAGATCCTGCTCTAGGGCTGCACATGATTTTACTTTTATATAATAATAGGAATTATCCTTTTGATAAAGGATTATCTGTGCGATTACGGGGTTAAATGCAGAGAACATATTTTCCTGTGGAGACAATAAAGTAAAACTTAACTTCACTGAATAATGTTACACTTACAGTAACTATTGCATTCAAGTTTCCATGTCTCTGGTAATATAAATGTCATGGTGGCAGCCAAAGGAGCCGCTGCCCCTGGCGACCACAGCATCGGCTGTAGAGGAGGAGAACATGGTCCACTCGAACTCAAATCCTCCTCCTGGGAGAAGCTCTCCTTCTCCTGGAGGGTCTGCCAGGTCTGACCGGCTTCATCCCCTGCAGTGGATCCAACTCACCACCAGGTGGTGATCAGTGGACAGCCTGGCCCCTGTCTTCACCAGAGTGACCGAGACACAGATTCAGATTAATTTTATTTGCCATTTGCAGTAAAACCACATTGGAATACACTTGCAAAACTCCCCAGACCAGTACATAAATAAAACAAGGTAAAAAGTACAGAAATATAACGCGGCTGAAAGTCCGATGACAGAACAAAGTCGATCATTGACCTCCGGCAGATGGTGTCCTGGTCCATAATACGATGGTCACATATATATACATGAAGAAGGAGGTGGAATGGAACCCAAGACCTCTTGCTGTTACGTGAAGCCCATGCACTGGTGTGGGTTGAATACTTTAGTTTACATACAGACTTGAAACCACAGTACGATTCAAAACATCAGGCTTTGGTTTTCATTCACTCACCTTATGGCTCCCTCCAAACCGTTCTCTGATTGGTCACAAATTACTAGTTACTTTGCCCTGTATTTACTGTCATAACAATTAATCCTCAATAAATGAAATATAAATTGCATTTTTGATAAAACGGAGCAGAGCGTTAGATAAAGCGCAGACACCTTTTTTTTTACTGAACTGTATCGAATTGTAATGAGGACCATCATTTTGGCTCCGACTGATGCCAGCCCTGCAATGAGGAGCATGTCTCTGGAGTGCATATTTTCTGATTTATAGTTACTGTTAGTATAATTACAGTTGGTACTTACAGTTAGTGTTGGCAACAAGAACAACAATCAGATATTAATCAAAAAACCAGACGCTCGTTTGAGACAGTACTGATGCAGAAAGACACACAAACAGGACATTGTTATCTTGGCTGTGTGCTTAGGGTCGTTGTCCTGCTGAAAGATGAAACGTCGCCCCACTCTGAGGTCAAGAGCGCTCTGGAGCAGGTTTTCATCCAGGATGTCTCTGTACATTGCTGCATTCAACTTTCCCTCTATCTTGACACATCCCCACAGCATGATGCTACCACCACCATGCTACACTGTAGGGATGGTATTGGCTTGGTGATGAGCAGTGCCTGGTTTCCTCCAAACATGACGCCTGGCATTCACGCCAAAGACTTCAATCTTTGTCTCATCAGACCAGAGAATTCTTTTACTCATGGTCTGAGAGTCCTTCAGGTGCCTTTTGGCAAACTCCAAACTAAGGAGCGGCTTCTGTCTGGCCACTCTACCATACAGGCCTGATTTATGGATTGCTGCAGAGATGGTTGTCCTTCTGGAAGTTCCTCTCTACAGAGGAACGCTGGAGCTCTGACATAGTGACCATCGGGTTCTTAGTCACCTCCCTGACTAAGGCCCTTCTCCCCGATCGCTCAGTTTAGACGGCCGGCCAGCTCTAGGAAGAGTCCTGGTGGTTCCAAATTCATCCATTTACGGATGATGGAAGCCACTGTGCTTGTTGGGACCTTCGAAGCAGCAGATTTTTTTCTGTACCCTTCCCCAGACTTGTGCCTCGAGACAATCTTGTTTCGAAGGTCTACAGACAATTCCTTTGACTTCATGCTTGGATTTTGCTCTGACATGCACTGTCAACTGTGGGACCTTATATATATATATATATATATATATATATATATATACATATATATATATACATATATATATATACATATACATACACAGGTGTGTGCCTTTCCAAATCAAGTCAAATCAACCGAATTTACCACAGATGGACTCCTATTAAGCAGTAGAAGCATCTCAAGGATGATCCGTAGAAACAGGATAGACCCGAGCTCAATTTTGAGCTTCATTTAAAAGGCTGTGAATTTATTTATCCATTTATCTATTTACTCATTTGAGAGGATAAACCCCTTGAGATGCATCATCTCGTTTTCAAGAGGGTCCTCGAAATAATTATAAGAAAGTCACAACACAAGACAGAAACAGCAGTACAGGCTCATAACCAAAACAAAAAACAAAAAAACCCAAAACTGAGCATAAACCTTTTCACACTTCCTTTCATACAAGCGACAACATACACTCACACAGCTCTACACAGCTCTACAGTAAACAAAATCAGTTACAATAGGACATTGTAGAACACACGTTTGTAGATAAGACTAAAGGGCATTTTTATACATATTGTAGGAGGTTTTACTTATGTACATGTGGTTTCTTTGTTTTCTTGCTTTTAATAAATTTGCAAGGATCTCAAAAAAACTGGTTTCATGTCGTCATTATGGGGTGTTGTGTGTATAAATGTGAGGAAGAAAATGAATTGAATCGATTTTGGAATAAGGCTGTAAAATAACATAATGTGAAAAAGTTGAAGCACTGTAATATTTATGTGACTTCGTATTTGCACTGGTGTGTTTAGGGCTCATATATACGTTTTCTTCTTTGTTTGCTGAAGGCAGAGACATTTATTTTTATTATAGAGTTGAACTATTCAGGACACCATTATTAATGTATCCTGTGTTTATCATTCCTACTGTTCTTTAACTTGTGATGCAACTTTGAAGTTTCCCCCTATGGGATGAATAAAGCATCTCTTTATGTTAACTCACCTGTTCGATTCTCTCATCTGTTTTAGGTAAATCCCCAACTTTGTAAAGTCCTCCAAGATGACTGCTGTTGTGATTCAAAGCTAAAATAAAATGAATTGTACTGAACCAGACCCAATCAGTTATTAGCCCAAAGCGTCAAACAGTGACTGATGGGGCTCTTTCTCCCGAGTGTGCAAAAGAGAACATGTTTTAATGAGACGAAGACCGCAGGTTGTGTTTTGATTTGTCCACAACGCTGTACTTCTACAAGGTATTTTGATGAGGGGGTTAAAGTTGCGTCCCCCAGCTTTAACTCCCCAATAGCAGATATGCGCGCACACAAAACAACAGTCAAAGAAGTGAAGCCTGCCCACCTCCCCTTCCTCCCCTGCCTCCTCTGCCTCCCTTACCTTCTGGATGCGCCCGTCCACGTCCAGGTAGATGACGCGGTAGGAGGACGAGGCGCTCCCCATCACGTTCACCGATCCGTGGAGAGTGGCACTGTCATGACCCCCTGGCCCGGGCCTGGAGCCTCCCCGCACCTCCTGCTACTGCTGCGTGTGCGTGCGTTTGCGGTTGTGTGCGTGTGACCTGGAAGAGCGGTGGTCGCGCTGCAGTGAGGACTGTGTTTGGCACAGCCGCGGTGTGGTGAAAGCAGGTGTAAGAAGCTCAGCCAATCACAGCAAGGACATCGTGTGACGTCACGCAGCCCACACACGCGGGTTACCCTGGACGTCACTTTCTGAGGTGGGAGGATCGTGATGTACAGTATAGGCCTATATATATATAATCATGCATACAGTGTGTGCACACAGAACAATAGTATTCAAATCAACAGGGCGCATCTATGGGCTCTCAGATGAAGGCTGTATTGGTTTTTACTGCCAATTTATAAAAAACAAGCATCAAACTATTAAAAAATGTGACACAACAAAGATATGTCTGTTATTTCAGTCCAATCAAACATTCTGGGATGAACAAACTCACAAATATATTCTTCTAATAGAGCCAACCCCCAGCAGCAGTGCTGCTGTAGCAGAGACATATTTACCACATGTAGGCCACTGTAGAGGCACATCTTAAAGTTTATTTGTATAGAACAGTTCATGCACAAGGAAACTCAAAGCGCTTAACGTTACAAGGCAATCATACAGACATTCAAATAATCAGATAAGATAAACCTTTATTCGTCGAAATTTCAATGTCATCAATAATCACAGTACATTAAAAAGAGTGAAGACACAATCCTTCAGTTGTACGCACAGCGGAACAGAACTGTTACAACCTGGATTTGACCATTGCCAGAGAAGAAGCCTGTCATTTTCAGGAAGACTTTAGCTGCATAAAATGGCAGGTCCCTGTGCTCCTCAGAGTCCCAGCAGGAGGCCAGTCCCTGTGCTCCTCAGAGTCGGTGCATATGGCACTAACATGTCTGGGATAGCAAAGATAATTAGACATTGATGCCCAGTCCTGACTTTAGTGGTGTTTTTGTGTATTTTATAACATCAAGCCCATTGGATCCTAAATTGCAGGGTCGACTATTGCAGTGGCTCCTTTTTAAAAGTAACTGTAGTTCCTCACAGACACCTGTAACAACTTTGATCAAATCAAAGGCCTGAGTATGACGTTGGCGCCCCCTGTAGGTGTCTGTTACACACAGTTAGAGCCTGTGTGAGCCGTTTATTCTGCAGATCAGGTCTGTGGGTTTGTCCACTATTCTGTTCTGTTTTAAAGCTGCATCTGCTCTTTTAACCTGTGTGAGCTAGTTCCACAAGAATCTATAATATTCAAGAATTTTCAAAGTGACCTAATTACAGTAACTAATGAGTTAACTTTGCACATACTGTCTGTACTCCTGTTCCTGAAGGTAATTCAAATGTGGCTGATTATTGTTATTATCATAAGTGTCTGTTTCTGTGTGCGTCAGTGTGAGGATAGGATGATGTTGATAAATTGTTCTTCTCTCAGAAATCTGCCTCCGATAATAGAACAGTATAGTGAGTCTGCTGTTGTCACCGAGAGCTTCTTCAGAACGAGCTGTCACCTTCAGCTGCAGACGAGAGCTCTCTACGCCACGGCCGCCCGCTCCTGACCGCTCCCTCTACTCCTGTCCTCTCGTTGCTTCTGTCCGGTCCAGTGCTGGGGACAGTACCGTACACGCACTGATCATGTTCTGAATATTCTCATATCTGCATCACATTAAAGTGCAACAGCAGCATGGGGTTAAAGCACTTTGTCTTGTAAGTCTTTGTAAACAAGATGCATGTAGAGCCAGTGTTGCCTGAGTTACTCTAAGATTGTAATATAACCTACTTTACTAGATACTGGGATGAACATGTAATATACCTGTATATATGACACAATATTACTGATGACGTCACACTGATGGCGTTCTGACGACCATAATAAAAACATAATGATGACTAATGACCATCTTTTCCTATAATCAAAGTAAACAGTGAGAAACCACATGAGCACTAGCATGAAGCTGCTGAGGTATTTATCAACGTTAACGTTTGTAATTAGTTCATTTGTATGGCGCTTTTCTACCTTTCCCAATCTCCCACTTACTCACATTTATACTCCAGTGTACTCAGATACTGGGGTAAGTGTCTTGCCCAAGGACACTGAGCAGCGATCACCTCCCGTTGGTGATCGCTGCTCAGTGTCCTTGGGCAAGACACTTACCCCAGCTGGTTTCACTATCTTGTGGGTCAGCCGATGTGACCAATGCTCAACCAATAGTGTTTAAGTCAGGAGCAAGATTCGAAAAAAAGGAATGCATTACCGTAAAATATTAAACAAAATAATTCTTTCTACAAAAATAAATTGAATTGAATTGTGAAAGGCGCTGTATGAATAAAGATTACACACTTAACAGCCAGATGTCTTCATTCGTGGGGCAACAACAGCCCGTTATTACACCAAGCTAACCCAGTCTAGAAATTAGATATAAGAAATAAATAAGGAAATTGGCTCCAGCTAGCTTATGTTCAATTAGGCTCGTTCCAAATTAAGGCTATTACTATGGTGACAGGGCACTCCAAATATACGGTCCATGGTACGTACACAAACACACACACAAACACCAGCAGTCCCAAAAAACATGTTATATTCCATTTGGATTGGAAGCAAAAGGCACAAATCACATCAACAACCAGCAGATCAATAAATTATGTTCATAAATACACAAATATGTTCCTTCATCTCAGGACAAGGCCAAGGGAATCTCTTTGGGGCGTTTTAAGGCAGCGATGCAGTACCAGCGTCAGCAGACAGGGGGAGACTGTGGGACGTCCAGGAGGCTCCTCAAATGTTCCTGACTCGGCACAGTCCCAGAGGCATCAGTAACGTGTCGCTCTGTCCTCCGTGTGCAGAGCCCACCGTGTTTCCAGCCGCTCTCTCGCCGCTCACACCCGGACAAACGCACAGCGGCCGCGGCGTTTTCCAGTTTAGGCAGATTACGTTCGCCCATCTCTTTGTGAGGTCGTCTTCAAAGGTGACGTTTGTGAGCAGCTAAGCCAATGGGGAGGGAGCTCTTCCGTGCAGTCTTCAGCGTACGATAGGTGCGATACAGCTGCTGCCCTCGTCAGTGCTCCTTCAGCCTGGACAGAGGGACAGTGGTCATTAGTGTTCTACAGTTACTAAAGTCCACACATAACACTACACATCTTTATTCTATAATTACAATTACACAATATATATTTATTTTTGTATAGCCCTAAATCAAAACAGCAGTCATCTCAGAGGACTTAACAAAACCGTTGAAATCACCAACACAGATCAGAGAATCAACAGTTAAGACACAGGAAAAATACATGTATTGGTTCATAGGGAGAGACCAATGTCCATGAATGATGATAAATGTCCATACATGGGGTTGAATGTTTAAGTGTCCTTTAAATTGAACATGTAGCAGACACGCTTCTGTCTGCTTTATGGGCAAACAAAGTAAAACAGTATAATATATACATATAGTGCTTCAGTCCTGCACCGGACCTGTCCACGTTCAGCGGCCACTGGTCCACGTCCTGTAGCTAGCTTAGGTCCTAGATCATTAGCCTGTCCGTCCGGAGGAGCGGATCCCTTTCTCATATGGGTCTCCCTCCCTGTGGGTTTCCCTAGTTCTCCCCAAGGTTTCTCACTTTTTCCCACTGGGTTTTTAAAGAGTTTTTCCTTGTCGATGCAGGAGGGTCTTGTTGGACAGTTAGTGTCCAACAGAAAGGACTGGTGATGATCAGGACACTTTAGCATTCTACAACATGTATGGACATTTTCTTCTGTGTGTGCTTTATATTCTTCATGTGTCTTAACTGTTGATTCTCTGACCTGTGTTGGTGATTTCAATGGTTTTGTTAAGTCCTCTGAGATGACTTCTGTTGTGACCTAGGGCTATACAAGAATAAATTGTATTGTATTGTATTGTATTGTATTGCATAACAGATTCCAACTTGAACCACAGGGGAAGAGCTGATCTTGTCCCAGTACGAAATATCAAAAAGGTAAAATGTATAACGGGGAAGTAAGTGTACTTAGATACTTTTAAATGACAATGTTTGTTCCTGAACTTCTTGTAGAAGAAAAGGATCATTATTCCAAGTCCTGTCTCCGTTCAGCTGTGCAAACCCCATGAGTTTGTCAAATATAAAGACTTAATTTAAGCCAAAAACAATCATCTGTGAGAGGGCAGAGCCGGGGGGCACCAGGAGAACGTCCGCTACGACTAGTCTCCACATCGGAGTGGCACAGCGTGAAAAGAAGGCACAGTGTAATAAATCCCCATAATCCTCACGACTGCTTATAATTTTAAATGAGTATATTCTTCTTGTCTTTCCTTCTGGAGCGATCTAAACAGTGGGGATTGATCTGACGGATGCAGACGAACCACATTTAATCCCCAGTAAAAAAAAAAACTTTCAGAGGATGCGGATCTGCTGTCATTCACTACAGAGCGGCTGCAATCGCTCCTGTGGAGGATGTGGGATGCTGTTTACAGTTCTAGTACGTACAGGTACGTCAAAGAAAGCGTGTTCCGTCCCCCTGGGTTTTTGAGATGTTCCGCTCTGATGCAGGGTCTAAGGACAGTGATGATGTGGGACATTTAAGAACATTTACTAACATTTCTAGACAGTGGTCATCCTGCTCCCTGTGGACCAATGGCGCCTATGTGTTTGTTATTATTGCCTTTCCTGTATTCCATCTCTTTCGTTCTCCAATCTGTTGCTAGATAACTTTGTAAAGCCCACTGAGATGAGTGCTATTGTGATTTAGTGCTATACAAAAATACATTGAATTGGAGAGAGGAGGTGCACTCACTGGACAGCGGTGATGGGCCTGGCCTGGCTGCAGCTCAGCTCTTTGGTGACCAGCCGGAGCAGCAGCTGTGACCGACAACATAAACACAAACACACACTTTAGTGTCACCATGGAGACCGGCTTGCAGCTCCGCCTACTCATCGAAACCCTTCTTTACCGTGCACTTACAGTACAAGTAGGAAACATTTAGGTTCATTCTTTTGGCCTTTCATGTTTTAGGTTGAAAATATATGAACAAATATGTACAGTATAATGTATTAATGGTCCAATGTGAATCATTGTAAAAGTATTTTTTTCCAGCATCATTTCTAGAATGTATCCAGAACAGCAAACTAAAAAGTCTTAGGAAATCTAAAAAAAAAAAAATACTCCATCCAAATAAAAATTCCATCAAAAATTGAAATTAGACCCAAGATGTTTTACAATACAGCCGGACAACTACACCTGAACAGGCTGGAAACACTATCTGCAGTCTGGCTTTTTGTCTGTAGTTCTGACTGCAGAAGCGGAAACACACTTTCCATGAGTACAAAACGACTATAGAGCCCGGTTTGATGGATTTATTATTTGGTGAGCGGTTACTGAGCTCAAGGAGTAAAGCCAGAGTGAGTTGGAACAAAACATCATCCATGAGCTAGCAGGTTAGCATTGTCCATTTCTATACAGTCTCCGCTGCTGACACTGACCAGGAGAGCCAAGAAGTCTGCGGCCATGAGCATGTAGAAGACCTGGTCCCAGCCTCCGGGAGACAGCAGCCCAGCCAGCAGGGGCCCCAGTGCGGCTCCTGGAACACAGCCACCAGGCAACACTCAAAGTGGGTTTTATAATGCACAGTTATCAGTGATTTCATTCGTGCTGCTCATACCCACGGAGCCGGTCCCGTCGATGATGGCCGTGACTGTGGACAGAGCCCGAGCGTTCCCCTTCAGGCTCTTGTGGGTGCCCTAGGACCACACCACAACACAACTATTATTATTATTATCATTATTATTATACTCTGTTTTTCAAATGTCTGGAGCAGGGCGGTCTGTCATTGTTTTCAATGTGTTCTTACTTTTAAAAGCTGGGGTATTTTTTTTTCTACATAAATATTCATACGTTTTGTTTGTCCCAACAGAAATCAGACCTTTCGTCTGAATACCTGTGAAATAAAATACTTTTGTGAGTCACTATTTGACTCTTTGGGCTGAGAGCTGATTGGCTGAGGGGGGTGGTCCTCTCTTTTTCACCTTGTCTGATAAAGCCGATCTAATGGTGTGACAGAGACCAATAATACATGCATGTGAGAACTAGAGATAGAAGCAAACCATTTTAGAGCAAGGTACAAGGGATGTGGATTTGACATATGGTTTGAGAGTTACTGTAGGTACATCAGCATGATAAGAATCAGAAATACAGACTTGAAACTGCTTGCTCATGTGGTAATTAACTATTAAAGCTGGAAATGGCTCTCAGTAATAATAAAATATGTGTTTATGCTCAGTATACTGTATAAACAGTCAAATACATGTGTGTGTGTATACTGTACGTGTGTGTATATTCATGTGTGTGTATGTGTTTTTGTGTACCAGGTCAGCAGAGACGGCGGTGGTGATGAGGGCGTAGGGGCCATTCACCAGACCCCCACAAACCAGCAGCATCCCTGCAGAACATGAAGAGTTAAGCGCACTTTACTGTCGGACATGTTCAGGAAGAAGGGAGGCAAGAAGAAGGACATCAGTGTAGTGGGTGGGGCTTAGCTAAACCAGGTCCACAATTGGTTCAAAGCAGGTCCAAACTTGATTCAAACCAAGACAAAACCAGGTCTAAATCAAGTCGTAATATTGTAATTCTGATTTTCTTGACAAACTAATGAAATGTGCTGCATCTCATGTAGCACATCTCTTTTTCGAGGGAGTCCTCAAGGGGCCAGCCACAATAAATAAATAAATGTATAGAACTGAAGCAGCCTTTAAAATGGTAACAATGGAGGAGGCGACAGGTGGGAAAACCCATGACTATGGACACATGGACAAAATAGGATCTCTAAAGGATCTCTAAGATAACTCAGGGGACGAGAACCAGGTCTAAAACAAACAAGACAACATTCAAGTCTGAACTAGACTAAGATCATGTCATAACTACCAGGCTGACAACTAGATCAACAAGGTTCCAAAACAATTCAAATGATCAATAACTCCTCGTAAGCCAGCTTCAATAAGGCTACTACTTCAATCCAGTATTAGAGGAAATCACGTACCACAGTTTGAGAAGCACTGTCGTAGAAGCATTAAAAACAAAGGCAGTAAGTAAGAAGGCACCATTCACAACATGGACATTCTGCCTCCTCTGCTCTTTCCTAACAATGAGCGTGAAGAAGCCAATGCAGGCCTTTTCCCCTATATACCAATTTATAATGTAAAAAATTAAAAACGCTTTTGACTTCCCATTCCCTTCTTAGCAAAGCAGGGCATCTCACCTATAGTCGGGCCCATTCCAAACTCACTGATCATGGAGAAGCCGTAGAGCTGTAAAGTGACAGAGGGTTAGAATCAATGTGTGGAGAAAAATACATACATGTTTAATCAAATGTTTTAGTTCATCCTTCAGAATGAATGTTGTATTGGATTTTAACACATTGTATCACCTGAAAACAGATCATGTTTGAGAGAATGGAAACAATATATCTGTCTCTCTCTGCTGCACGAAGGCTGCAATCACAACAGTTTTACCTTTGAGTTACAGACGAATCCGTAGCGTGCTGGATCTAAAGCCTCGGTCCTGGATTTACAGCCTCGGTCCTGGATCTACAGCTTCAGTCCAGACAGCCTACAGCCTGTCCGTCTCTTAAAATGGGCCTCCACTGTTTTTTTTTTTTTACTTGTTCCTTGATGATGCAGGAGAGTCTAAGGACAGTGAGGATCTGGGACATTTAGGGACACTTATACAAATTTTTAGACAGTGGCATGTGGGTATTATTGCATTTCCTGTGTTCAAACTGTTCTCTAATCTGTTGTTGGTTAATCGATAACTTTGTAAAGTCCTCTGAGGCGATTGCTGCTGTGATTTAGGGCTACACAAAAACACATTTCATTGAATTGAATAGTATTAAACCATTGTTGAGACCCACAGTGGGAGCAGCCAGCAGCAGCATCACAGCACAGGTGGTGGCCCTCATGCCCAGCTTGTCGGAGACCACCCCCGCCAGGACCCCTCCTGTGGGCACACGACACAAATCATGCTACTTCCAACACTTTATGACCCAATTATGTTTCTGGGACATGGGTACAAAAATACATTCAGGTGACAATTAGGTCAAATACAGTAGTGATTGAAAGTCTACACCCGTTTTAATTTTTACTTTTTAAAACTACTTGTATCCAACTTCTTCCGTTTAGATGGAGACACTGTGAAGAAATGAGCAAAAACGACCAAGGCCAAAAGCAAAAGGCCAATCCGATACCCAACTCTGACGTTTTCCTGTTGCAGCGTCCTTGTGTAAAATCGACTGTATAGATGGACAATGCAAACCCAATGCAAGTTTGCATTGTTATGGGCTAAACAAATCCATGGTTTCGCTTTTTCTATGATCCTGCTGTTTATGTTGTGATATTTTCTTTGTAAATCCAGATATAAGCCATATTACAACTGAGCAATCCAATGGTTTAATTCACAGGGGAAACTACTGCTGGCTCAGCAACACGTCTGTTCCCCGCGGGAAGCTAAAACCACGGAACAAAAGCACGAATACTACGGAGAGGTTTTTGCCATTTTCAGATATATTACTTTTTAATCGATGGATTACTTTTTGGAATCAGTTGCTGGTCTTAATGAGCAAGTTGACTTAAAATCATTGTAAAAAAACTGCACACAATTAAATCTGTGAAAGAACACGGCCGCAAAAGGTGAACAGTGTAATAGCAAGGGGTCGCTGTCCAACGTCCTGGGCCATACCTATGATGCCGCCCACGTCAAACAGAGTGGACAGGTCTCCGGCTCTCTTGGCGTCCAGGTGAGCTGTGGGACAGAGCACACGTTCAGAAACACACAGTCCACACAAAGCCTATCTTTGGTGGAGGAGTGCGGTGGGTGCTGACCTGCTTTGGTCATGTAGAGTGGCAGCCAGAACAGGAAGGTGTAGCTGACCAGTTTGGCAAAGAGCAGACACAGGGAGAACTCCACTACGCCCTGAAGAAGAGTCCAAACAACATCGTCATGGAACACAGAACAGGATTAACATCGTAATTCGGGCGTTCTGCTCTCCCAAAATTTCATCCACTGAGCGGCGCTGTGATCAAAAAATGACACCGTTTGTTGCCCAGTTCACTTCTGGTTGATTTCATACAATGGCGAATATGGCTCCCGAAAACAACAAACGATTGACAGTTCCTGAATTGCGTGACAGGTTGAAGCGAAAGGGTATTTGCAGTGTGGGAAAACGAAAGGAGGAATTGTTGTTGCTAGTTCAACGAGCGGATGGTGTTTATGAAGATTTAGAAGAAGATGACAGCGAGCAGAGTGAACGAAAACGGCTGTGTGTGCGAGTGACAGATGGTAACAATGAGAATGAAGTTCAGCTAAGAGGGAAGAATGTGAATTGGACGGATGATTTGCGCGATATGCCACTAGTTAGAGACGGGAATGTATTTGCATACAGAAAATGACGAAAACACTCAACCATTTAGAGAAAATGCGCCGGGCAGAGAGAACCGGAAGTTGCGAAGGCAAGTGTTACCTATAATGCAACGCAAAATTCAGTCGCTCCCCCGCCCATCGGATGGAATTTTGGGAGAGCAGAACGCCCGAATTGCCATTTTGTGGACAACAACAATGTTGTGCCCAGCTGCTGAGCATGGTGCTCTTAAAATCACCATGATAGTTTAGTTTCTGCTTCACGTAACAAAACAAAACATGAGCAGCGAGGAACTGTGTCCTGATCCAGAACCAATAAGGTGGAAAACTACCCTGGAATAGTTTAGAAAGGTTAATCTTGTCTTCTCAGTAGATAAAGTTACTGTAGATGGCTCTTTACCAGACAAACATAAGGTACCAATGTTTCAGCGCCACACTGTCTTCTTTAAGACAAAGGAGGGTGGTGCTTCTGTAGTGTGGCGGAGCTTACTGACCGGTATACGCAGTGCTCCCATGAAGCTGATGGCGGAGGGCTCTGATTGGCTCTTGACGACCACCACGGGCTGCACCTGGACGCACTCACTGTCCTGGGGCAGCAACAGCTCCGTGTCGAAGCTCTGGGTCAGACATCAGAATCAGGATGATTTGTATTTCCATAGCAAGTAACAGGAATTTGCTTTGGATCAAGGTGCAAACTAGTTATAAAGGTAAAAATAGACCTCATAGAATTTCTTTAAATATAAAAAAGAGCACATTAAGTACACATCACATCACAGGAAGTGAGAATATGATTGGCAGTGACAGACTGACTTGAGTCTAATCAAAGTTAAGCCGAGGAGAGAGGCTGTTTCAAATATATTATTCTTGAAAAATAATGACTGTAAAAGACAAAAGTTGCTAACATCACCTTTAAAGAGAATATATTATGCTTTATTTTTTTACCTTTTTAAAATGATGGAGACCATTTAATTTATCATTTCATGTTTTAGAATGTGAAATAATAACTTTTCACCAAAAATATATGGTGAAACAAGTACAGAGGGTAAACAGTGCAATCTGCCTGCCCTATCACTGTGCTGCCGCCAGAGGGAGAAGTAGGTTTATTTTATCCATATTCAAAAATTAATGGTTGCACTGATTATGAGGAAAGTCATTTCACTTTAGAAATGACCAGAACTCATTTAGGAGCCATCGCTTTGTTATAAAAGTCAAAAAACAGAGAGAGAAAGTGACGTCATAGTGGTGCGATGACATCATACTATTGTACACCTGAGACAGGAGTTCAAAGACAGAAGGGGTGGAGTTTGTGCCAGAAGAAGTTCCCGATAGTAGCATGGATTGCACTAAAATCAACTCCAGGTCTGAGTCTGATTAGGAACAATGTTGACAAAAAACATATGGACAAACGGGACAGGTTGTGTAGAATGACCCATACCCACAGCTGTGCTGATTTTAGAGAGAAGAGTGCATTAATTATAGGGGCATTATGCAACAATAAAGTATATATTATGGTAAAGAATATTAACTTTTTTCCACATAAAAAGTTGCATTATGCCTCTTCATCAATAACAAAAAAGCTCCAATAGATTACAAGATCAATCAAACTCCAGATAAATTGACTTGGAATCGCACATAAATCTCTGTGGGGACGTAATTCCCTCTAAAAGTGAATAAGGCCTGCTGCCTGCTGTTCAGAGACTTTCTGTGCGAGTCCAGTCTTAGAAAGAACACAGAGAGCCTATAGTTATTAGAGCACATAAGGACAACGAGGAAACCGGTTCTAACCCTTACCCACACCTACACCTCTAGCTCAATCCAAATGAAACCAAGTAGCCATTCTCAATCACAAACCAGGGCTGGACTATTTCAGTAAGAAGCACATCTTTTAATTCAGTGAGTGCGTTTCCAAAGCATAATAATATAGAGTATGTTTATAAACTCACACACTATTTGGTCTCGGAGGAGTTCTGGTCCTGTCTGTGCACCCCACGGAGAAGCCTAAAACCTCCAGACCTGAGGACGCTTTCAAATGCGTCACGTAACTTTTCCTTAGTCCTCAAACTGTAACTGTGATTGCTAATAAAACTGCTCTCATACGGACATTATGAATATACACTCTACAAATGTAACCACACATTCCATTCACTTTGGGCATTTGATTTTCACACACTCTCAGCTGCTACGTTTGTGCGGCGCTCTTAAAAATCACCACAATTCTGTATTTTTTTGCTTCACATAAATCACAAACAGTGAGGAACTATGCCCTGATCCAGAACAACATGAATTGTGCCTGTACATGTTAAAATACATAAATTTCTAATATAAGCTTTTCCCTGTGCTCGTAAATGCATCACTGCTGCTGTCTCATAAGGATCATTTTACAGAGCTCACTTGCAATAGAATCAGTGCGCACCAGCTCCTCTAAACAGACTGGTTTCTCACTCTTCAATCAGGGCGCAGATGAGTTTACAAGTGTCATTATTGATCAGAGTAAGAAGAGAATTCAGTTTGGAAAGAGCTTTGGAAACGCACTCGTAAAAATCGTGAATGGTCTGTGAAAAGGGATCTTTAGTGACGTCTAACACGGTACAATAGTTAAAGAACAATATCCTGCATTATTTGTGTTGATCTGGAGAATGTTTACATTTCATGTTAGAATGTGAAAATTCAGGGTGAGATAAACACTTCCAGTGGTAGAAAAGAGAAATTAAATCCTGCTTTTACAGTTTTACAGAAAACACGACACAGATTAACTGAAGAAACACAGCTGTACGGAACATGGCGAGACAGGAGAGATGGATTAAACATTTGGTGCGATACATTTATTCTTTTAAAGGCAGGAAACAGCTCTAATTATATAAAGTTCATTGTATTTTCTACATGTTTAAGACTTAGAAAATTCTTTTCAAACACGCTAGTGCTACTTATTTATCTGATGTTATGGTGGTAGACGAAGGCGAAAGTCTACCACCCAAACATGTGAGGAAATCAAGCAGGACTAGCTTCTTTACACTCTTTGACTTGTTAAAAAACCTTCTACAGCAGTGAGCAGCTCTGTCCATGACGTCGCAGTTTGACAAGTTGCCCTAATAAAAACTAGTTTTAAAAGACATCGTTTAAAACTCAAAAAAGAGGACTTTGTATAATGCGTATTGTCCTCATGTCCACACAAAGAATCCTGACTCCTCAGGATCATGGTTTATTGCGAACATGTGAAAAAATGGAGATTACTCTGCACAGCTTTTACTCCAAAGAGATTTTAATTTTCACCACACAATGTGGCGTTTCGGGTGACTACCCTTCATCAGACATGAAGAAGGGTAGTCAATTTTTCACGGTTCTATTTTGCGAACATGTGCCATCAAATAAATAGCGCTAAAATCTACAACAGAGAGCCGAATAAAAAATAAAAAAAAACAAGAGCTGGTCTGGCCCAAAATGATAAAATCTTATTGCCGTTTTCCTTTAAAAATTAGCTTTAAAATGAGGTATAACGTGCCATAAGAGCCCATTACCATCATAGCTCCAAGTCATCAATATCAACAGAATATCATTTCAGGGGCCCCAAAAATGGTATCGAGTTTGACATGACTGATTTTGCAACTAAAGGGTTTAAAGGTGCAGTAAGCGATTTGGTTAGCTTAGCCGTAGCACCAACTCGAAACCACTCCCCCCTCCCCTCTCCACCAAAACCAAACATCCAGAATGTTCTTTTCTTTGTCACAACAGGGAGAGTGGGTAGCAAACGTGAAATTGGCATTTTCTGTTCAGCCCAAAGCCCCCACTGAAAGATCAAGGCTATGCTCACACTCAGAGAGCAGCCGTCCTCCTGTGGACTCACCACCTGCAGAGGGTCAGTGAGGGTCTGGTGCTATGAGACTTGGGTGGCATCTCTGATTGCTACCCCCCTGACCCAGAAATGGATTAAAGGGTAGAAAATGGATGGATGGATGGATGGATGTTCAGCCATTATAGGTTTTAGAAAATCCAATAACTCAGTTGCGCGCACTCACAGGAAACAGGAAACAGGAAGAGGGTGAAGTGGGGTAAACGCATCCCATTGGTTCGTTGGGGATGAACGAATCCCATTGGTTTATTTGTATCAGTCCGCTCCAAAATATATTTTTATTAATTTTTGGAGACTCGGCATCTGGTCAATTCCATTACTATTTGAAAACAAATGATAATGATACTTTTAGGGTTAAGGGATGTTTTCCCACAATGTTTTTAAAAAATGTGTGTGGAAAAAAATCACTGACTGTCTTTAACTGATCCTGACTTTCTCTTTATCCGTTATACATGTTACTATATTATCCACTTAAACGACTTCACATTTAAAAACATGAAATGCTAAATACAAATATTCTCCAGATCTAGTTTCAGTAACAATGCTTTGACGGGTGCTGTCTCACTTGGGTCAGCCCCCGTGAGGAAAGTTTTTGCTAGAGGCTCGTTTGGATTGAGCAAGTGAGGCCTGGGTCCCGGCTCTGCTCACCTTCCTGCTGTGGACTGTGCACTCAGACCACGAGTGCATCTCCTGTACGGGCCCATAACACATGACGTCACATAACACTCTGCACCAGGGACATTAACGTTAAGCCCCATTTCCACAAGCCCCTCTCCACCCTGCACTACTCTTCCCTACCTTGCTCAGTAACCGTTTGTGTCACACTCACCATTTAGCGCTCTCCATGGTCCTGGTGTCTATACTGTGACAGATCCAAATATGAGCCATATAAGTATTGACCTATCATATGCCTTCAACTGTATTAGAAACTAGGCATGCAGTTTCTAGCTAGGTAGGAGTACCTTAATTTGAGTACTTGCCGATACCGAATACCGATACAAGTATATTGTGTTATCCCTGGGAATTCATAAAAATAATACAACTGAAATTTAAGCATTTTCTTAATGTTGAAATAAGAAATTTAACATTTTAGCAATTGTTTTAACAGTCAACAATAAGAGCCACCGTCATATTCCACTCATACAAATGGTACAAAGAGATAGCTCCGGTGCTAGCAAAGGATAATCCGCGTGGTGGTGAGTTTTCGGTTTGATCAAGTTGTTGGTGTTATACGTGTTTGTTCTGTACCCACATTGTGACAGTTTTGCACAACGTACAAAACTTTGCTTTATTATTGTCACTCTTGTTTACTTAAAAAAACTGCCATACCAGTATCGCTCCATCTTTCTAATGTTTGAATCGGTCCATCTACCCATTCCACTAATATGAACAAGAGTGAAGCTCTTACCATACCTGTTTGGGCTTTTGCACATACTGCACTTGAAAATGTCTATTTCTCTACAGCAGAAGTCACCAACCTATAGCGGAGAAGCTACTAGAAGCTCGCCAGCCCCGTTCAGGTAGCTCCCCAAAAGATTTAGAATTTAACACATGAAGTATAAGTAGTATAGTTTATGGTATATTTTCATGTGTTCGCCATGTGTGTTCTCTCTTGTCTTAATTATTGCATAGATTTGTATTACAACTGCTGAAAAGGAGTAGCTCTCTGCCTCTTCTGTTGTATAAAAGTAGCTCTCTGATTGAAAAAGGTCGAGACCCCTGCTCTACAGGGATGAAAAACTTGCTGTAGTCCATTATTATGTTACTCCCTCTGGTCCTGGGTGCACTGTGCTGGGACTATAGAAGACTCATTTGACACATTCCCGTCTTCCCTGTGGTGAAAAGGCGACACAGGTCTAAAAAGCTTGTCACATTCTCAGTGTTGTCCCAGCATTTCAACAAGTGTCAAAAACTACAAGGCCTGGGGGGAGCGGACAGAAAGTGCAGTGAAGCAGGGGGACCCACCTGTGGTTTGCCTTCTTTGTAGTGAGCTCTGAAGTCTGACGCTGCTCCATTCCACCGGCCCTGTGTAGACAGACACACAAGAATATGCAAACATGGTATTAGAAGGCTTAGAATTTAGAGAGGGTGTGTGCGCCGTTTTTCATCATAATGTGACAGTATTCTGATGATTACTGTCACCTTTAAAGGCACCACTAGAGCTGAGGACTCATACTGACCATTTGACTCATAGTGATGTGTGTGGGCGCGTTCTTCAAATCGTTCGGATCTGCAAACATAAGGAGTACTGTCTCAACACCTTTCATATTTTAGGTCAATCAATAATTACAGTACATGGCCCTTCTCCAACCAATGTGACTCATCTGCCTTCATTCTAAAACCTCATACAATTACATACATTCACATAATTACATGGAAAACTTCAGATTGACTTAAACACAGATTGTAGGGAACGAACCGAAGCTTCCATACTAGCTAGAGCGGCTAGTCTTTTAACCCTTTGATGCACAACATACGCACACCCCTATTAATGCACAACATGGGTCTAAAATGACCCGCATTCATTTCCCAGGTTATCTCATGCAGGCTGAGCGTTTCTTTGCTGTTTCTTTTTAAATCAAAGTATTTTATAATTCAATAATCCAAGTATTCTTTAAATATCTTGTCTTTGATTACCAAACATCATTATTCATATTTTTCCTGCCTTACTTTTTGAACAAAATAAATGTTTGTATTACTATATCAAGATAACACACATGGGTCAAATATGACCCATTTATTCAATTGCAATTTAAAACAAAAATGAAGGCATATAATAAAACTATTTTTCTTCAAATATCTATTTTAGATGGGGATTTGGGCCAAACAACCATACATTTCACCTTTGAAACATGTTTATTTGTCATTTTGGAACACATACAATTACATCCGACAAAAAAAATAACAAAAGATAAACTGGTGCATTGACCAAAATAAAATAAAATATAACTGATCACACCGGTAGAGCACAACTTGCCAATTCAGTTCTCAAGATTCCTCAAATATAGAAAAAGTGACCACTGCACAATTGTGCTCATAGCACACAGGCCTCTTGCACTGGGAACACCAGCTGCTGGCTTTTCTGTCTTTGGCAGATGGGTAGATTACACACCTCTTCCTCTTTCGCTGGGCACTCCTGTCTCATGTCCTCTTGTGGCTAGGTAGTGGCTGTGTTTTTTTTGCCCAGCTCCTAGATGAATAGCCGGCATGCATTGGTGACCTCACCCATGTAACTAGTGTGTTCTGCAGTGAAGTTGATGTAAGCATTGAGGGTGGCAATATCCAGCATAATATACCAGAGCACCATAGGCCACCTCCATGTTCTCCATTGTGTCCACTTCTGATTTCTTCTTCTGGCTGTCTTCATTCACTGCTCTGTTATCATGCATTGTGCTCAGGAGGATAACAGCCTTTGCCTTCTTCTGCACATGGTCATGTTGCCATTGAATCTGAATTCTTGGCTATGAATCACTCTTGACTTGGATGGCTTTGTGATAGGTGGTATGTCTGGCTTGTTCTGGCGAAGGCCCACAATAGTCAGGTTCTTCTTGAGGAGCTTAGCCAGAGGGACACTGGTGAAGAAGTTGTCCATTGCGATGTTGCGACCTATGAGAGGGGGTGGAAAGCAGTGTGCAATGACTTATACATTATGTAAATCTTTAATATCCATATTCTATAATCACCTGTCTGTCTGATTCCGCTGCACAATTTTAGAACAATGTTCTTCTGCCCCTCCTCTCCTGGCTGTCTTCCTGTATAGACAATTCCATCTATTGCATAATGGAGTCTTGCATCGCACATCCAGAAGATTTTTATCCCGTACTTCACAGGCTTGATGGGCATATACGTACTGCTTCAACTTGCACCTGCCCTGAAATGGCACCAGCAGTTCATCTATGGTGACAGTCACCATAGATGAACTGTCTTCGCTTGTCCGCTGTCAAAATATTCCTAATCAAACGTGCTCAAATTCAAAGCTTCTTACTGAATGCCACAGTGAATGCATGTGTGTGAAGTTGATGTAGCAATACAAATGTTGAGCTTGTTCATAGAGTAAGAAAGGAAACATAAAAAATATTATTTTTGATGAATAAAAACATGTTATTTACTGTATACATGGAGTAATAAATGATAATATTTATATATTACAAAGGTGTAGCAAAGCAACACTCAGCCATACATGAATTTACATTAAAAATGGATGTGGGTCGTTTTTGACCCATGTTGTGCATTAGAGGGGTAGTGATGCAAAAATCATTTTTATTCAAAAAGTAAGAAAACAAATAATAAAATGAGGATATTTAAAGTTAATTGAGGAATACCTGGAATACTAAAAGATGAAATTAATCCATTGCAAAGATAAAGAACATAGAAACTCAGTCGGGTCACTTTTGACCCTCGTTGTGCATCAAAGAGTTAAGCAAATAATGGGTTGGGGGTTAGCGTGTCTCAGGTTTAAAACATTGTTGCTATATTTAAGATTATGTCTCCACTGGATCTATTCGAAAAGGTAAACAGGTCAGCAAAGATTAGTCAATTGTGGGCAGAAGGGGAAGTGAAACTGAAACTGCTCTTTAGGTTCACCGACCGTCGTTTTCAACAAGCTCAGAAACTCCGCCCAAGTACAAAGTGCACTTGGGTGTCCCAGTAAAACATCTATGACTGAATACATATTTTCTACGTTTATCTTTTATGGGCATTGCAGGCAGCCAGGCCAAGAACATTAAAGGAGACAAGACAAGGGCCAATGGAATATATACAATGCAAAAACTGATGAAAAATAAGTACTCTTAATTTTGGCACATTTTGACTGCCTTAAAATAAAATTTGCCAATGGAACAAACACAACTATCTTGTTTTAAAAAGATACAAGAAATGTCTCCCTTGGAATGAGAAAATGAAGCTCCAAGTTCTTGAAATTAGACAAAATGACTTTGTACCTATTAGGAAATCTTGTTTTAACAGTTAGAAAGTATTAAAATTAAGATAAAACCACTCGATTTGAGCATTTATTACCTCATATTTTAGCCATTTGTGTTAGTTATTTACAGAAGAAATGGTACACATTTCTTTGATAATGAGACTGTTTACTTTGTCATTTCATGTTTTAGTAAAACAATGTTTTCTGTCTGTTACCCCCTATGCTACCACAAGAGAGAGGATAAGATTTTATTTATTTATTTTTTTCAATTTCGAAAAATAGCGGCTGCAACTGTTGATTGTAATGTATTTCACTCGATGAGTCGTTCATACTACTTTTTTTTTTAACACCATGTGATACAGATTCCATAAATTACTATGTACAACATAGTAGTGCAGAATATATTGGTGGAGGAGGGAAGGGGGAGTGGGGGGGGGGGGGCATTTTTAAGGCATCCAGAGCATGAAACAAAGAAAACAAAATACTAAATAAAAAAAAATAAAATAACAAGCAAGTACTGTCGTGGAAATATGTAGGTGCTAATGTGTAAGTGTGGGTGTTAATGTATTTGAATGTTTGTGTATATGTATAAATGTGTGACCATATGTGTCTGAAGAAGAAATAGAAAAAATAGAAAAACAGAACAATAACAGTGAATAAAACGTAAAAAAATGAGTGCTGCCACTTGCTGTCTCCACAAATCCCAGTAACGTATTTTGGCTGTTTATGTGACAATATATTTATTTGCTTATTTTGTATTATTATTATTATTATTTGTATTTTTTTCATTTATTTATTTTTTGTGCGCGTCTAGTGCATTAAAAACATGCACCAGACACACACAGAACATGCTATTGCTGGAGGAGACCTTGTTTAATATTGTGTGTATTGTATGTGTGTGTTGAGCGTGGCTTATGTTATGCATTAAAAATCCAGGGTTCTGTGGGAGGTCTGCGCTCCAGGGGAGTCACCTCTAGAGCGCATGCCTCCCCTCCTGAATGGCCTGATCTAGTAGGTGTGAGTCTGTTGTTGGTTTTTATCATTTTTTCATTCATTCGTTCATACTACTTTATGGCCAGTACTTTTGTTTTAAAGGCAGAAAGTGAGTATTGGGTTTAGCATTACAGAACTGAGACTGGAGCTTTTTCATGAACAATGTTGTAACATGGTGAAAAAAATCTACAAAACTTTAATTTCATCAGAATAAAAGCAAATAATAATTTAAGCCGCAAGCGGCGTCAAACGGCCCTCGCTACACCGCGCAACTCCCCGCACCGCTCCGCACCGCACAGATGTCAGAATTTGACATCTCTCGAGCAAAAACAATAGGCCCTTTCCCCGTTCGGGGCTTGGGCCTAATAATACCCCTATGGGAGTTTTCGGAGGTCAAAAGTGTAGTAGAGCCATGAAATTCTGTACACATGTTCCTCAAGTCAAGACATGAAAAAAAATTTTATTATGGCCCCGCCCTCTGACAAACAGGAAGCCCATAAATTTCACTGCAAAATGGAAAAATGAACAGCAATAATTTTCATACATGTCGGTTGGAAAGCGACTCCTCCTCGGCCGTTTCACCGATTCGCCTCAAAATTGCTCCACATCATCTCAACACATGTACTTTCAAAATCACTTCGGCGATTTTTCATCAGTGAAACGTTGTTTGAAAAGCGGAGCGGCAAAATTTGACCTTTTTTTGGCCATTTTAGATAATATTAAATTTGTTCCCGTCTACACATACAAAGTCTGATTTGTACAAAACTTTAATACATTGTTCAACTCTATGGTCTAGGTCAATTGAAAGTGAAATAAAAGAACTTGGCTCATTAGCACCCCCTACAGATGGGGTCAAAGTTTTCAGAGTTTTTCATACTAAAAACTCTGAAATAGTCAGTATGGGGCTTTAATGCGCCAAGTTCAATTATTTCACTTTCAAATGACCTAGACCCTAGAGTTGAACCATGGATTCAAGTTTTGTGCAAATCAGACTTTGTATGTGCAAACGGGAGCAAACAGAATGTTGTCAAAAACGGCCAATAAAAACTCACATTTTGCCGCTCCGCTGCTCAAACAACGTTTCACTGATCAAAATTTTCTGAAGTCATTTTGATGGTACACGTGTTTAGACGATGTGAAGCGTTTTTGAGGCCAATCGGTGAAACGGCCGAGGAGGAATCGCTTTCCAACAGACATGTATGAAAATTATTGCTGTTCATTTTTCCATTTTGCTGTGAAATTTATGGGCTTCCTGTTTGTCCACAGTGGCGTGGCCACAATAAAATGTTTTTCATGTCTTGACTTGAACATGTGTACCGAATTTCATGGCTCTACGACCAAATTGACCTCTGAAACTCCCATTGGCTGTTGTAGGTGGCGCTGTTCTGGCTTTTTTTTAGTCCCATAAAAACAAACACCAAAATATCATATTTTTCACCAGGTCTGATGTTTGGGCAAAATTTTACAACTTTTCATGCATGTTCAGGGGGTCAAATTAAGGCTCAAAGTGCAGAATTTGACATCTCTCGAGCAAAAACAATATGCCCTTTCCCCGTTCGGGGCTCGGGTCTAAATAGTATGATACAAATTTCTGAAATCTAATTTTGCTGTGCAATGATTCATTCATTCAAACAAACAAAGAGCAGTACTCACGCTCCACCAGGAAAAGGAAGCAGACCAGGCCCATGACGGCAATGATGACGCCAGGCACCAGGAAGGACAGGCCCCAGTGCGAGGATACCCAGTACCCAGCGATCAGAGAGCCCAGGATGTTCCCCACGGAGGTGTGAGAGTTCCACAGACCCATGATCAGGCCGCGGCTGCAGGCGACACAACAGCACTCAGGACATGTCCGTACAGCTGTGCTTCACGCATGTAGAGGTGTGCAGCCATTTTATCTATTTTCATTCAAATTTACAGAAACTGGTGGCCTAGAGGAAGGGACAGCTTCACCTCATCCACAGCTACTACAAAAGCTGATGAGTGTGTTTCCAAAGCACAAGAATACAGAGAATGTTTAAAAAAAAAAAATCTCTATTCGGTGGATTCTCAAACAGGTTTGAGGAGTTCTGACGTCACAAGGCTACAGACCTGAGGACGCTTTCAAAGACGTTCCGTAACTTTTCTTTATTCCTCAAACTGTGTAACTGTGATTGTAAATATAACTGCACAACAAACACATGCTTGGCAAAGGTAAACACACAACATGACAACATTTACTACGAGAGTTTGATTTTCACACACGCTCAGCTCCTGCAGAAGAAATCAGAGTTTCTGCAGCACTCTTAAAAGCACCATGATTCTGTTGAGTTTAGTTTTTGGCTTCACGTAACAAAATGCAACAACAAAACAAGTGTAGCGAAAGACTTTGTCCGGATGTAGATCCACATACACACATTTACAATACGCACTGCTGTTGTCTCATGAGGATCTGTTTACATGTTTGCATACAAGCTCCTCCAAACAGACTGGTTTTTCACTCCTCAATCACTGCGCTTTGAAAAAGCCCTCATTGAAGGGGCAATATTTTCAATGGAACTTGGAAGACATTTAAAAGTCTTGAGATTTTGTTAATGCTACGACAGTTACTGATCTAGAGCAGTTTACTTTCCAAAGTCAATAGGAGCCAGAGTGAATTGAAGCAAAACTTTGTCCAAGAGTTCTTCACTATTGGCCTTCATTGAGGACTTTATTTTTTTAACACATACGAGTTCTCTCACCGTCCTTTTCCGAACCAGTTCCCAATGCAGGTGACCACACTGGGCCAGCCTGTGGTCTGCACCAGGCCGTTCGCCACCTGCAACCCAGAACACCAGTTAGACCAGAGTGTTTGTGCCCATTTGGGAGGAGCATGGATGAAGCGAAAGACACAACTCAAGGTCCGTTTTTAATTTATAATAAAGTAAATGTATGGAATGTAGTGTTTGCATTTTCATTGACCGTGCATGAGTTCAGCTAATAGGTATAGGTCATTATGGTCTCAATTAGGAGTGTTTCCACTGTTGAACCGGAATATCAGTATCAGCACCAGCTCCAAACAATATTTAAGAGACATATCATGCTAAATAAACTTGTTTGAGCTTTTAACCATGAGACAACCTCAGCCCCTGGAGTTGTTTTAAGATCAATCCATGCCATTAACAAGAACTTCTGGCACAAACTTGTAACTCTGCCCCTTCTGCCTCAAAGTTCCTGTCTTAGGCCTGTAACTGTATTATGTCAGTCTACCACTATGACAATCCACTAAAAGCGAAAAGTATAAGTAGTTTTGATTTGTGTTTGCAGCCGGTAAAAAAAACCAAAACACATTCTACCCCTCCCTCTGGTGGTAGCATAAGGATAACACTTTTTACAACATATATTCTCTACTGAAGATATTATCTCTCATTGTAAAAAATGAAATGACAGTTAACTAATTATCGTTTCAAAAAATGTATCACCATTTTTTTCTTAGAATAGAATAGACAATAACAAGTCAAATATGCTCAGAGCGGTTAAACATTATCCAGGATTTCCTTGGAGCTCTCAGTCCAGTCATAACTGGAACTAGGACAGACAATAAAACTCTGAAGAGGCCGACACATTTTTATATCTTAAAACATAAGTCAATGTTTATCTAACCAGGAACTGTGAGAATATTTATTATGTTGTTTGAAGGTGTGACCCAATTTTCTGTGAGTCATGAGGACAGAGCAGGGTTCAATGACATCAATGGACATGACAGTTTAAAAGAACAAATGTGTGTTACTCTTGTTTTACTGTAAGCTATCATTTGTGCTTGATATAAGCCTCGACAAGATCATGGGATAGATACTTTGCTCTCTTTTTTAGAAATATAGAAACTCTATAGAAAAACATGTATAAAGAGATTGAGAGATGGTCATGACTCCCATCTAATTCTAAAAAACAATTCTATAAAAGGAACGCATCCTAAACCGTTCATAGGTCTAGTTCATTTTACTTGCGAAAATAAAAAACTAACATGTAGAACACATCTCTGTGCAGGATGGCATAGTTTGAAGATTTGCCATAACCCAATGAGTTGGAGGAATGAGCATTCTGACAGGGGGATGTGTTGGTGCCAGCTTTTCACTGTTTGAAGACATTTCCGACGTAACTTTAAATTGATTGTGTTTTCAAATGATGGAAGTCATATAGTTCAAAATATTGCAACAAAAACTGCTTAAACACAAGTAATGTTGGCCGTTTTTACTCAAGTCGATGTACGTTGTCCTCTGAACGCAGCATTACCTGCACAGAGATGTAGAAGCCGAGACTGTGGATGTTGTAGAAGTACCCCAGGCCAAACAGGCAGGTGAAGAGTCCGCTGAACCACATGCCCAGGCTCAGGTACAGGCGGATGGGCACACGCTCACCGATGATGCCACTGTGGACAGAGCAGAGGCCAGGGAAGTGACCAAACAAATACTGTACTATTCAGACACTCAACTGGTACGATCTACAGCCTGTTCGTTCTTGGAAGCGGATCCCCAAGGTTTCTCTATTTCAGCCAAGCCCCGGCGATGGCGCCCCATTCACATGAGTGGCTTGTGCTCAGTAGCGCATGTACCACCATGGGCACCGAAAGATTAGAGGAACTCGCCCATATTTGGTCATTTCTCTGGTCCTCCCTGTTCTGCGTAGTGGACGAGATGGACCATGATGCTTTGCCCAAATTTGTGTGTGTGGCTCTCAAACACGTGCACAGAGGGGCAAGGCGCGTCCTGACCAATCAGAGACAATTGAGCAATGTTTGTGGCACTAAAGTGTGAATACATTTTTTTTTAAAAGAATTTAAGAATAAAGTTCAGAAGAATCCCCCGAGCACATGGGTCCTTCAGCTTCAAGCTAATAATATCCTATCCAATTATTATTATACATCCATGATTTCAACCCATTTATGGTCATCCCACTACCTATGGACCAATGGCTCCTAAGTGTCTTGAACTGTTTGATCCCCTGATCTGTTGTTGAGGTTGTCCTCCAATGTGATTTAGGACTATACAAAAAACATTTAATTGAATTGAACACACATTGATAAAAAAAAATCTAGTAAGGCTTAAAGAACAAATATTATGTACAATTTCTAGGCACGGGATGAATTGGTATTTCCATGAGCTGGAGCAGTGATGTCACTGACAAAGACGCATGTATTCAGCAGTTTCAAACGTCTCTCCTCGACTGCTGAATTAAGAGTTCTCAAAAATGTTTCGCTCAACCCATTCATTGAAAAGAAATATCAATATATCTTGTTCCCGCTCAAAGGATTAGTGCTGATTGTGACCCTTGAATATTGTCTTGAGAATATTCCCCTTGTGCCCCCTGTGAGAGCAGACCTGAGGTACATGCCCACGGCGTAGGCACAGAGGAAGGAGTAGTCCATGGCCCCCAGCAGCTGCTTGTAGTTACTCTTATCTGTACAAAAAAAACACACCTTGGTTGGTTTGAAAAGGGGGGGGGGGGGGGGGGGGGGGTTAAAGGTGGTGATTCAGAGTGTTTGTATCTCACCGAAAGGCTTCCAGCTGCAGTGGTCTGGGGGCAGCGCGGCCGGCGAGGAAGTGGTTCCACCTGAGCTCCATGTCTCACCCACAGAAGAGCAGTTCTTGTGGAGCTCACTCTGGAAAACGCAGCACAAGACGCTTTCAATAAAAAGGAAGGAACCAGGCCTGCAGCAGCCCATCCTCCCAAAGAGGCATTTAGTGACTCATTCCCATGTAAGGACGGCATAGACTGTATACCAGGGGTCTCCAACCTGTGGCTCGGGAGCAACCATTAGCTCGCCATTCCCAGTTCAAGTAGCTTCCCAAAGGATTTAGAATTTAACAAATGATCTTGAAGATTACATTTTCAGTCATTACATGTCTATTATAAGTATAACTATACGGTTCTTACAGTTTCATGGTATATTTATGTGTTCTGTATGTTTTGTTGAAATTATTATATAGAATTGTTATTACGACTGAAAAAAAAAAAAGAGTTGCTCTCTGCCTCTTTTGTTGCATAAAAGTGGCTCTCCAATTGAGAAAGGTTGGAGACCCCTGCTGTATACCATAGTTTATGATCACCCTTCCATTCAACTCCAAAAAATGCAAAATATTAAGAACTCTCTGCCTGCTCACCTGTTTCAGAGACCCTGGGAGGCCTAGCCTTCTGAAGCCTAAGGACCTAGCCTGAACCCTGGGAGACTGAGCACTCTGAACCCTGATGGGCCGAGCCTTCTGAACTCTGGCGGCCCTCTGAGCAAGTAGGACCGAGCCCTCTGAACCCTACAGCATCTCTGCTGTTGTGGCCTGTCCTGCTCGTCTCAGCGGCTACACCATCTCTGAAGCTGTGACCTAAAGTGCTATTTCATTTTAATACTATAATTAGATATTTTTAGAATGATCTATTATTTTGTTTTTTTGGAATGAATGCATGTATTTCGACTGTTACTGGACACTTGAATTTCTCCTACGAATCAATAAAGTATATCCATCCATCTATCTATCCAACAAATTGTCCCTTTATAAAGCGTCTTTGAGTGTCCAAATAAGTGCTATATAAATATGACGTATTATTATAGATGAACAATTCTAACCCAGCCCGGCATGGCACAGCCGGGGCCCCACCCTGGAGCCAAGCCTGGGGTCGGGGCTCGTATGCGAGCGCCTGGTGGCTGGGCCTTAGCCCACGGGGCCCGGCCGGGCTCAGCCCGAAAGGACGACGTAGGCAGTCCCTCCTGTGGGCCCACCACCTGCAGAGGGGTCCGTGGTGGCGAAATGGTGTAGAGAGGACTGGGCAGCAGTCGAAGGCGGAGACCTCGGCGACCCAGTCCGCGCACACAACATCTGGCTCTTGGGACGTGGAACGTCACCTCGCTGGGGGGGAAGGAGCCCGAGCTCGTGGGGGAGGTCGAGCGATACCGACTAGAGATAGTCGGCCTCACCTCCTTGAGAGGGGTTGGACGCTCCACTTTTCTGGTGTCTCTCGCGGGGAGAGGCGGCGAGCTGGGGTGGCCATACTCATTGCCCCCCATCTCAGCCGCCACGTGTTGGAGTTCTCCCTGGTGAATGAGAGGGTCGCGTCCCTCCGCCTTTGGGTGGGGGACAAGTCTCTCACGGTTGTGACGACCTACGGGCCTAACAGCAGTGTAGAGTACCCGGCCTTCTTGGAGTCCTTGGGAGGTGTACTGGATGGTGCACCGCCCGGGGACTCCGTTATTCTCCTGGGGGACTTCAACGCCCATGTGGGATATGCCAGTGACACTTGGAGAGGGGTGATAGGGAAGAACGGCCCTGCTGATCTGAACCCGAGCGGTGTTCAGTTGTTGGACTTCTGTGCCAGTCACAGTTTGTCCATCACGAACACCATGTTCGAGCACAAGGGTGTCCACCAGTGCACGTGGCACCAGGACACCCTAGGCCGGAGGTCGATGATCGACTTTGTTGTTGTATCATCTGACCTTCGACCGCGTGTCTCGTACACTCGGGTGAAGAGAGGGGCGGAGCTGTCAACCGATCATCACCTGGTTGTGAGTTGGATCCGCTGGCAGGGGAGGAAGCCGGTCAGACCTGGCAGGCCCAAGCGTGTAGTGAGGGTCTGCTGGGAACGTCTCGCTGAGCCCCCTGTCAGACGGATTTTCAAGTCACACCTCCGGGAGAGCTTCTCCCAGGTCCCGGCGGAGGAGAGGGACATTGAGTCTGAGTGGACCATGTTCTCTTCCTCTATTGCCAATGCGGCAGCTCGTAGCTGTGGTCGCAAGGTCTCTGGTGCTGGTCCCGGCGGCAACCCCCGAACCCGGTGGTGGATGGGATGCCGTCAGGCTGAAGAAGGAGTCCTATCGAGCCATGATGGTTCGGGGGACTCCTGAGGCAGCTGTCCAGTACCGGCAGGCCAAACGTGCCGCGGCCCGGGTTGTTGCAGAGGCAAAAACCCGGGTCTGGGAGGAGTTTGGAGAGTCCATGGAGCAGGACTATCGGTCGGCCTCGAAGAGATTCTGGCAAACCGTCCAGCGCTTCAGGAGGGGGAAGTAGCAATCTTCGTTCCCTCCCTCACCTATGGTCATGAACTTTGGGTAATGACCGAAAGAACGAGATCGCGGATACAAGCGGTCGAAATGAGCTTCCTCCGCAGAGTGGCTGGGCGCTCCCTTAGAGATAGGGTGAGGAGCTCAGTCACACGGGAGGAGCTCGGAGTAGAGCCGCTGCTACTCCACGTCGAGAGGAACCAGTTGAGGTGGCTCGGGCATCTATTCCGGATGCCTCCTGGAGGCCTCCCTGGGGAGGTGTTCCGGGCACGTCCCACCGGGAGGAGGCCCCGGGCAAGACCCAGGACACGCTGGAGGGACTATGTCTCTCAGCTGGCCTGGGAACGCCTTGGGGTCCCGCCGGACGAGCTGGAGGAAGTGTGTGCGGATAGGGAAGTCTGGGCGTCTCTGCTTAGACTGCTGCCCCCGCGACCCGGCAACGGATGAAGCGGAAGAAAACGGACGGACAGACGGACGGAATTCTAACCCACTCAAGGACAAAGTTTTGCCCCAACTCGCTCTGGCGCCCTCTAGTTTTTAACCGTTTGTGTCACTCTCACCATTTTGTGCTTTAACATTTCAGATTTGGGCTCTCTGTGAGACTGGGGTTTATAAAGTAATATTGTCTTTGTAAATACAGATATGAGCCATAAAAGGAGTTTCCAATCAAATTCCTTAGTTCACAATGGGAACATCCAGCTAGCTACTGCACAAAGCTAACGCAGTCAGAGCAAATGTCCATATAAGTAAATTGCCTTGAAGCTTATGTTCAAATAGGCTTCTTCCACATCCGGCAAATTCAATGGAGACGTCAGTCGACTCCTAATATACAGTCCAACGAGGAGGGCAGCGTTACCTTGACGATGCTGATGGGTTTCCTGGACAAATGAAAGCTGGTGTAGAGCAGGAAGGTCAGGGAGAAGGTCAGAGCACGGTACCTGCTCACACAAGGAAGAGGCTGAATCCACAAAAGCCACATATGTCCACTAGGGGGCATGCATGTAGGCAACAATGTTACAGACTGATCGGCAAGTGACATCCCGCACACATGATCATGAACTCGCACTGTGTCCTTCAGCTGAAGTCATAGTGTGTTTTGTAGAGAGTAATATTCAGATATCTGTGAAACAACACAATGGTACATATGTGTCTTGCCAAAATGTAACACTCATCTTTGCAATAATATTCATGTTGTCGTTTTGTCTGTCTTTGTGCAAAGCTGCTACCGCCTGAAGCTGATGCTAAATGTAACAGCTCGTGTTAGAGACCATGGAAATGTGGTCCCTGGAACGTCTGTTACAGAATATGTACAAAACCTACAGTATAGTAGAAACATCAGTTAAAACAGCTGTCATTCCCATGGTGACAGTTGGAGGCTTCGATGCGCCAGAATGTTTGGCGTCTCGCTTCTGTCATCACTGTGTGTGGAGTGAATAGACAAATATCTGTTCTCCATAAAATTGTAAAGCTCTTTGTGTGACCTTGGTCTGTGAAATGAACTGTATAAATAATAACTTACCAACATACTATTTTTGACAACATTGTAGTTTTTTTTTTATTTGACATGGGACTTTTGTTGAACATGATAAATGTGTCAATTATTGCGATCTTTATTTCTGCAGCCTCGCTGATTCACACATTTCTTGGAATTGTGCGTACTTGACAACATCATATAATTGCTAGTATAACATGACAGTTACCAATATTTAAAGTCAGAAAAAACGTTTGTGTCTTGTGTGCACTGCGGTGATTAGTTCAGAGGACTATTGTGGTCTTCCCGTAGCCCTCAGTCCTGCTCCAGCCATGGTGTCCTCTGCAGCTGTATTTAACAGTGTATACGTCTTTTGACACCTACAACCAGGTTTGATATTTCTGCAATCGTACTTCAGCAATCGTAAGTTCAGGTGGTTAGAAAAGTGTGTGAGAGGTTTTAAAGACTTAAAACATACAGCTGCTACTTCAAGGATTTCACTTCTTGCTGGTTAATTTTAGAACGCAACCCCCGATACATGAGTGGACACTGTTTTACTTCTCTCAAATATTTCCTGGACTCATTATAAAACTGCGTGAATCCATTCAAGATGGCAATGTTTGTCAGTAAACATGCGCTTGTATAATTAGCAAGATGGTGATGATGATAGAAGGACGAAGAAGCTGGTCTCACCACTGTTCCCGGTTGAAGGAGACCAGGAAGCGGATCCCAGGAGGAAGAGGAGCCATTTCCCTGGGTTCAGAGGACTCAGCTGCCTCCGGTCCACTCCATCACACTGCAAGGTTTGAACACTGTAGATCCAGAAAGAAAATATTAGGATTTCTATTGTGCGAGATTACCAAACAATGGAGAAATGGTCCGTCGTTCTGGAGGTTTAAACAATTAAGCTTAGATCCAGGCGGTGATGCGATTAATCATTTATTTTTTGTCCAAGTTCAGAGGTTTCCTGGATTTTTGGCAATAATCTGCAGGTAATCCTTTGACTTATGGCGCAAACTAACTTAATGCCAAACAAACCCTGAGGGAAACTACTCTTCTTCCAAATGCGAATATGTAAGAAAACCCATGTCACCTCGCTCTCAAAACAATTGGTTTCCATTAGTAGTTTTCACATACATGTACTGTATGTTTGGCCTCTGTCACATCTTTTCGAACAGAGATGTGAAAAAGAGAACCAGTCACCTCACAGCCCAAATTGTCAAATGGTGACACAAAGACAGACCAAAAACAGAGATGAGGGAGCCGATACTTTGGCCCACACATGGCACTCACTGCTCCAAAAACCATATTGAGGTAGGGGGCGTAGTCAGTCAGAAGGAACTGAACGGGTATAGTCAGTCCGATGGATCTGAGGGGCGTGATCAGTCTGATGGATCTGAGGGGCGTGATCAGTCTGATGGATCTGAGGGGCGTGATCAGTCTGATGGATCTGAGGGGCGTGATCCGTCTGATGGATCTGAGGGGCGTGATCAGTCTGATGGATCTGAGGGGCGTGATCAGTCTGATGGATCTGAGGGGGCGTGGTCAGTCTGATGATCCCCCATCAGTTTGGCCGCATCCAGTAACAACAGCTGATAAAAGACACACTGTGTCCTCTGATGAAATCTACCATACCAAACATGGTGTAATTAAGAACTGTAGCTATTGTCATGTATTTTTCGTACAGTTCAAATCAATCTATAGACAGCGGTAAATAGTTCCTAGTCATGTCACTACACGTCATTGACTGTATGGTTAACCTATCCATTTCTTCCCCTTGGTCCATTTCTGGGTCGTCCAGTACACTTAGCACTAGCCCCTCACTGATTCTCCTGCAGGTGGTGAGTCCACAGGAGCCTTTATCTTTCAGTGGGGGCTTGAGCCAAAGTGGGGTTAAGTGTCTTGCCCAAGGACACAATGACAGTAGACATCAGTGGGAGTCGTGAAGTAGGTCTTGTGGTGGGCTCGAACCCACAACCTTCAGGCTCAAAGGCCAATGCTCTACCAACTGAGCCACTGTTGCTGGATGATTTTGTGCAAATACATTATCTAAGTTTTACGTGTACATGTTTCTGCCAGGTGCCAACACTGCTCCGAGGACTGAATACAATTAAGGAGAGATCATATTTTAGTTTAAAGCTTTAAAATATGTTTCTAAAATATACAATTATAATGCAGTTAAGGATGTGTTTGGAAAGTGTGTTTGCGTTTAGCTTTTGTTACCATAAGCTAAACGCAAACACACTACCATATAGAACTGTTGCCGATCTATATGGTTCTTGTGAGCTGCATGTTTGTGAATGGTGGTAAACGTGGATCTGAGCGTGTTTGCCCTGAGCCTCATTGCAGTGCGCGGTCAGCGTGTGTGGTGTTTGCTCAGAGCGTGTAGAACAGCAGAGACTGACCGGGGTCAAACAGCACACTGGTGCCAAGTGAGACCTGACGCACAGCTCTGCTTCAGGACTGCGCTGCCAACAAAGGAAGCTGCTGCAGGTGTAATCAGGGCCATAAGCAACCAACATTAGAGGTGGGAAACATGTGATGACTAGATAACATTGCGATATTTGGGCCACTATTCAATATTATTGCGATTCTTAACATATTTTGATACAGCCTGTATAGCAATTCTTTTTGATACTGTGATATATTGCGATTCATGTCCATCGTTTAACTCAAAGATATTAAAACATTTGAGCAAAATAAGACAACTCAAATGTAACATTCATAATGATCTGCACATGAAAGTGAGTGCAAACACTTCAGTTAGGAGAGTCGAGCAAAAACTTTATCCTTGAACATTCAGGACCAAAGATCTTATTACAGAGCGTATGAGTGAACTTTGAAAAAACATAAAAGTGAAACAGATAATCATAGATTTAAATATTGCAAATCGATTTAATTGCAAGCTCAGAATATCACGATACTGGACAGAATACATTTTTCCCCCACCACTAACCATTATTAAAATAAGGGTTAATTCACGTGTGTGTGTGTGTGTGTGTGTGTGTATTTATTACTACATTACTACATATCCATTAATTTTATATTTCTGTCATTCACTAGTCACTTTACCTGCTGCTATTTTTACTATTGCTTATTCGGCTCATGTTCTCTGCTGCTGAAGTACATTATACACATCTGTAAACACCTCCAAACCAAGTGCAATTATAGATTCAGAGTTTTAATAGTTTAAAATTGTCTTATCACTTATTATTCTATCACTTTATTTTTATTGCCTATTATCTTTAATAATAAATCCTGTTTGAAGTGTGCAAACTGAGTGCTCTTAAACCTACTTTAGTCTTTTGTAATGAGCCAAACGTTGACATTGAAATTTCCCCACTGTGGGACAAATAAAGGACTATCTTATCTTATCTAATCTTATGATGGTAATCACTTGTTACAGCCTGGGATTTAACTAAACTACAGAGGGCTGCGATACTTGATTTTCAGCCTGTAAAACGTGGATGAAGATAACAAATATATGTCTAACCTGTTCCCATCCGTCACTAGTCCTTCTGTCCTCTCAGCGGCTTCCACATGCATCAGGCCAAAGAGGTGTCTATGGCTCACATGACTCTACCGATAGGTTGAAATAGTTAAGATAAGATATACTCACAAAAGGAGAAATTTACATGTCACATCTGTTCAAATGTTTTCAGATCTGAATATGTGTAGATGACTCATCATCAACAGATAGATACTAAAATAAAAGTGACACTATGTAATATGCACTCTTAGCAGTCTAAAAAAGTCTTTACAATCACACCTTTGCAGCCAGAATATTCTCCTTGAACCTTCTAGATTCATTGAGCTAGAGGGTTAGAATTGTCCATCTACTGTATATACAGTGTATGCCACTAGTAGCTCACCACCCCTTTAAGATAGCTCCCAAAAGATACAGGATATTAACATATGATGCTAAATAGAGATTAAGCTTAAGAGATCCTTTATTTGTCCCACAGCGGGGACATTTCATTGTTGCATCAATTAAATTTGTGCATCAAGCACACAAGGAGCACTCACAATGTACATAGATAAGTAGCTGTAAATGCTTCTTATATTTGGTTTTAGCGGCCGGGGGTAAAGCTAACAAAGTACACTCTAGAACTGGGGTATTCAAGTAGCTCCTCAACAGGACTAGTGTGGCTGCAGGTTTTCATTCCAACCAAGCAGGAGCACACCCGACTCCACACATGTCCTTAAGTCTTCAAGGTAAGACTGATCTCACTTAGATAAAATAGGTGGGGTCTGGAAGACCTTCTGCTCTAGGTGCAATACAATATGAATATGATGTAAATTAGTTTCGGGCTGATTAAAAAGATAAAGTAGATAAGGTGAAAAGTGGTCATTCTGAAATGGCAATATTGCAAGTGATTGTAGTTTTTACTGTAGATGAGAGTACATGGCTCAGCAGTTCTCATTGTACAGTCTGACAGTAGGGAAACATTTCATATCATTATTTGTGGTCTGAGAGGTTCCACTGATTTAAAAGGTGTATATAAGAGGATTTCCCCAAATGGAAAGAACCGCCAACACTCCACTTTCTAAATAAAACTTTCTGGTCTTATTTGACGAGCATGTATCACCAGAATGATTGACAGTTTGGAGAAACAATAGTCTCGATGATCCACCCGGAAGTAGAGGATCCTTCTATATACCTTTACTATTATATTCACTTGTTATTAGTCACATTGCTTGTAACGTTGCTACTGTATATTTGTATTAATAGAACTAAGCAAACGAGGGTCCACAATGAAGGATAAATCAGACTCACTACATCTGTACCACAGTCCGAACACATGAATATAACAGAGACATGTCCACTTCAAACACAGTCAACATTTTAACAGCATTTGTCCACAATAGCCGTACCAGAGAGCCAAGCTAGCCGCAGGAGACCTCACGCAGCCGCCTGTGGTGCATCTACGCCGGCTGTATTGTGGAGAGAACCCGCGGGGAGTCCTCGGTACCTCAGCCGGATTTTGACGTGTCCGAGTCTTGTCAAAGGTCTGGTCCTGGTCTGGTCCGGGTGGATGTGGACAAACCAAACAGGTCCTGGAGAGCGCCGCTTCCTGGTTGTGTTGGTCTGACGTGAAGGCTCGCGTGACGTCACAACACTCGTTTTCGTCAAAAAAAAAAAAAAATACAAATAAAATAAGCATTTACAAAGATCAATGCTTGGTATCTATGATCGTCTCAATACACTGGTTTAAAAAGTCTGAAAAATATTGTAGATCAAAATGTATTGAATTGGAGAACTGTGCTTCTCTGGCCTGAGTTATGGTTATTTACAAAGCACCTTTCACGGACCAGAGTCACAAAGCGCTTTACGATTGTTGTGGGCATAGCAGGTCTCTCACTCACTCCACGCAGGGAGCGTGGTTGCCATACAGGAGGCGCATGCCAGACCTATTGTGCATGTTTGTAGTGGTAGGGGAAAACCGGAGTACCAGGAGGAAACCGAAACGTACCAAGGGGAGAATATGCAAACTCTACACAAAAAGACACGGAGGTGGAGTCAAACCAAGCACCTATACGCTGTGATGTACAAGTACAAACCACTGTCCCACAATGATGGGTCTGACTTGTGCTTTTAAATATTGGTTATGAAAACATCTCTGTATACTATATGAGGCATACATAGTGTAATGAATGAAATTATAAGGACATGAAAATCCATTGTATTCAGATGTGGCAAAAGAACTGGTACATAAGTACATAACAGTAAAGATTCTAGCTTAAAAGCAACTCTGGTAAAGTAAAGTAATGCAATCATTCACTTACTTAAAGCGGGGAATGTAACTTTGAGACCACAAAAATAAAAAGTACAATCCATGTCAGTAGTTGGCAGCAGTTTTCACATATATTTTGGCTTCTGTCACATCTCTAGATAATCTATATCAGATAGATAAGTGAAAAAGAAAGAACCACCCTCACTCAGCCCAGCTCAGTATGCTAAAAAGTTAACATGGTTTCTAATAAAGATAAAGACAGCATGTTTTCGTCTGATTTATTCATATAATGTTACTTAAACATTCCTGTTGGGACAAACGAAACATATAGAGCTTGAATAATTATAATGCATTATTTTTGTCCATCAGAAAGGATAAGACCATTTCAGGGACGTGCGGTGAGGTTTGTGATTGGGGAGGCACTGACTTTAAAAGTCAGATTTACAATCATTATTCAAATAAAATAGCATTTAATCACCAATGCAATGACATCCACAAACTTTATATACTGTAAAGATAAGAGAACCAGCTTCTTTTAATAATCTCACAACAAATCTAGCTGCTGACTCTGCTCCGCATCAAACAACATCTTTAAGAAGCGCAGGTGCGAGAGACGCGAGGAGAGAGAGACGCGAGGAGAGAGGAGCAGAGAGAGACAGAGAGGAGCAGAGAGACGGAGACGCGAGGAGAGAGGAGCAGAGAGAGACAGAGAGGAGCAGAGAGACGGAGACGCGAGGAGAGAGGAGCAGAGAGAGACAGAGAGGAGCAGAGAGACGGAGACGCGAGGAGCAGAGAGAGACAGAGAGGAGCAGAGAGACGGAGACGCGAGGAGAGAGGAGCAGAGAGAGACAGAGAGGAGCAGAGAGACGGAGACGCGAGGAGCAGAGAGAGACAGAGAGGAGCAGAGAGACGGAGACGCGAGGAGCAGAGAGAGACGCGAGGAGAGAGAGACGCGAGGAGAGAGAGACGCGAGGAACATAAACAATAATTTAAACAAGTTGCAGAACTCTTGAGCAGTGTTTGAATCAGTGTTTTTTGGAAAAGCACTACTTTGCCGGTATCTGTCAATGTTCAACATAAAACACAGATTAACAAACTCCTCCCCCGCAGCCGGACTAACCTCGTAAGTCCAGTGGTGGTCTCCCAGTCTATATTAATTCTTTCTTTGTTTGAAAGTCCAATTGAGAAAAAAAATCTTCATTCAAATCATCCATTTTCCAGCAAAATAAATAGCATTTTGGGCTGATTGTTTGTTAGCAACTCTGGTATGAACTTTATGCTCACTATCACCCCTAGCGGTGAGGCACAGATACCGCCTGCCTCACGCCAAGCTTTTTCCTTGTGTGTTCATCTACGATCAAAAGACTTAAACTAAATATAAATTGTACACACATACGTGCAATACACTACTAAACACTAAGAGGAGTTTAAAAAATGTTTTTAAAGCAGGATATTTGAAACAAACGGTGATATATCAACTGCACGAGCTGAGTGCACTCAGACACACACACACACACTGTGAGGGAGCGGTCTGGGGTGAGGCACGCAGGAGCGCTGCCTCACCTCGTCTCTTTGAATAGGAATAACGGGATTTCGGCGATTTTGACTTCAGAAATGATCAAAACTGATGGGAACCGTGCCGAATATACATTAAAAGCATAGGACAGTGGATATAAATTATATATTTAAACTAAAATAATTATTAGTTTCCAATAATGGCAGGTGAGGCTCTGCCTCCCCTGCCTCCCCTGACTGCACGTCCCT